TCACCCACCCAACTACTAACCTCCCGGCGTGTGGCTTGAGTACGGCTGAGCGGACGGGAAGCCCTATTTTCCACACCCTGTGGTCGTATGTGCTCTGAACAACCAGGGCTTTGATCATATACTCAATTTATTTTACTAGGTAAGGAACAAGAGTGAGATGTGCCATTTTTCATTTTGCATGGAATGATTCCTATGAGCAAACACGGCATAACTCCTGCTCAGGTCTTGGCTCTGTATGTAGAGACCATATCAGCACCTTTGGTGGATGCAGGTATGCAGGTAATAATAGGACAGGACATAGTCCTGGCCACATCTCACATTTCCTTCTTGGAGTGCGCGCATCAAGATTTCCCTTCTCACGCCCGGAATCCGGCTAGTCATAGACAACAGGAAGACTCCTTGCACCGTGAAAACAGCTGAAAAATACTAACCATCTGCTTGGGTTGTGGTAGCCAAACAGCAATGAAATGCAGTTGCCTAGTGCCCAGATCGTTGCAGGAAAGCGTTAGCTAGTTCATTGTGCTTCTGCAACAAGTCCAAGCTTCAGTAGAGTTTATTTTTTTTTCGATATCAAAAACTGGAAGGGCCTTACCATGCTTTGCTCGCTCTCTAGCTCATGTACAAGTGACTGTGCCAGTATCCACCTTCAAAGCTTGGGGAGAGAGTCGGTAAATGAGTTGGTGCTATAAATTGACTTTCCTTCTTTAGCCGTCGATCATCTGAGCTTCTCCCCAGGAAGTCAGGGGTGAACGTTCGACTCCCATTCATCTGCTCGAATATGCCAACGCGGCTGATCTAATTGGAGAGTTAGACAGATGAAACTCAACACAACTGCCAACGAATCCACAACAAAAAAATCCAAGCATCTTCACCTGTTTCGTTATTCCGAGGAATCAAGTTCTCAGACAGTGGCGTCAGAAGTATGAATAAGTAACGTGAGACTTGCGGGCATCGGGATAGCCAAGATATATGAACAGTTTCCTAGTTAGTCGGACTGAAAATTCTCTGATCTCCTTCATTACTGCATCCGCTGCTGTGCAACCTGTAGGTCCCCTTGCGGCGCGAGATCAGCCTAGCGAAAACGAGGAGTCTTAGGACTTTGGATTTTGATATACTCATCCCACTTAGTGATCATCGTTGAACAACTGTTAAGACAGAGTAATCGCTATGAGGATCAACCCAGATATCTTCCAATCCCAGAAATCAGCATTGAATTTTAGACGACTCGGACACCTCCTACGGTCGTCGGATTTGGTATTAGCGTTCTATCTGCCAGCCCGCGGATGGCTTCTCTGCAAAATTCATCATCGCACATTGAGAATGAGGCTGCAAGATGGGCAGCACTTAGGGGTTGACAAGACTATCATACACAGACCGATATTGGTCGCAATGCAAATGTAAAACCACAGGAATAATACTACCGCAGGAGAGACAACAGTGATGCGTGTGCCGTACACCGGTACAACACTTGTCTCACTCTCTACTTAGTTCAAGTGGATTTCGAGCAACTGAGCCCCCACTGCCACATCCGTACCATTGACATCGACATTGACGGCGCTGCCACCACCCGTGGTGACGAAAATGGCGTTCTGCTCTTTCTCCCCGCGACCAAAGAAGACACCTGTGGGCTCGGCAATTTCCGTAGAGTCTTCCGCGCCCGCAATGATCTCGTCACCGACGGCCACACCATCCTGGGTGAAGATAACCTGCTCGACGGTATTCCCGGCTGCAGTGGCCAGGTAGGCAAACTTGTAGTCGGAGCCGTAGGTGGCATTGAGTGCGAATCCGTTGGGGGCGATGGCAAAGTCGTCGAATTGGCTGCCCTGGTAGATTAACTGACCCGGACCGGCCGTGACGTTGGCGAAAAGCTCGGCGCGGTACAGGGCCCCATTGGCTGTCCAGTACACGAAGCCGTCGGAGACCTTGATGCCATTGATGGACGACATCAAGCTTTCCTGGTAGATGGCCTCCCAGCTGACGCCCGTGTTGGTGTCGATCGCGAATATGGCGTCCTGGTAGCTGGCTGTCGCGAGCAGGATGGTCTCGTTGAAGGTGGCCATGCCGTTGAACCCTGTGGGTGCAGTGGGCCGGCACAACAGCTTGATTTCGGGGTTGTCGCTGTCCTTGGTGAAGTCGACCTTCCACACGTGGGTGGCGTTCTTGGGGGGATCGCTGATGTTGTCAGATGTCGTGTTGGCGCCTGTCACGTAGAAAACGTCGTGGGCGCCCTCCGTGATGCCCGACAGACCCAGGACAGAGTCGAAGGTCTTGATCACCTTCTTCTGCGGGTGTATCTGACGGGGATCAAATGCAAGAAGGCTGGCAGGAGGACCGATCTCGGTGGCTAGGACGATGCCATTGGATCTGGTGGCCAGGTTCTCCAGCCAGGTGTCGTTTGAGGCGAACTGGAAGACGGTGCGCACTGGGAGCTTGGCTGCCACGGTTGCTGCAAGGGATAGAGTGACGGCGAGTGTGGGACGCATGATGGCGAGGAATTTAGTGTGGTCGGTAGGTAAAGCAGGGTAGGTTACTAAGTTGTGCTTTTGATACTGCAGCCGTAAGGCTACTTTTATAGGGATCAAGAGAAGCCGGAGGACATAGGCAGATTGAGTAGATCCAACCCCATCAATGAGAATGACGCGGCCCCTGCCGTCCCCACTCCATCTTCCATCCCAGTTTAGGGCTAAATCGTTCGTCCGCACTCGGCCATATCGGACATAGTCGCCCAAAATTGGCTACCTATGCGCGTTCTTAAATGAGACTTCGCTACCGCTTTCTGTTCCTGGGTAACAGTGTGTTGATCATGGAACTTGGCATACACAGTGCGCATCTCAAATTAAGTCTCGCTGCTTGTGTTCCAGCCTCGATTTTCCTCTTACTCCTGACTTTCATAACCTTGCTACCCTTTCGTGACTGTATCATTTCTCATGCGCCTGCATCAGACTTGGAAGCTGCATGGTTGACGAACACGCAGTCGGGAGCAGATGACAACCTGTAGACTGCGAACCGTCCAATTTGGCAAAAACGAAAAGCCGACCACAGGTAAGCCTATTTTGCCTTGTGAGTGAGTACTGGGTCGAACTATTGGTGGGGATGCGCGGCGACTACTTACCTAGTTTTGAAGTTAATTCCAACGTAAAACAGTCCAGCCACGTAGACTGATACAAAGAATCTGGAATTCGACACCCGTAGTTATTGATAGACAATCAGAGTACCTGAAACAATGGGGCCCATTAACCCGCTGCCAACTTGTGGCTTTCCGTTGGGCACGGTGTGAGTAGGCTCACACTTGCTGCTCTCTATAAATCGACATCCTTTCTTCAGAGCAGGCCAATCGGTGGTCCTTCTTTTCTGGCATGTCATTGGCAAAATCAAGACACATACACAGGGGGAGGATTATGGTCAGAACTGACAAGATAAGCCTAAGTCACCCTCCACGAATTTCGATCAAATCACGTTTTTCTGCTCGAGCGCTGCGAGCATGAATTGGTCAGCCTGAAATGGGGGTAATTTGAGATAGCCGTCCGTTCACCAGCTCTGCCGAATTACTTCAGGGTCGCGATAAAGTCACCACCAAAGCCACACATTCGTGCAAAAAGAGTCGGTGGAAGAGCCTGGGAGGCGCCGTACTAGAAGTACTCTATGACAAACACACCAGAGAGTATTGAGAGTGCCCTTGCCTCAATGACCCAGAGGCAATATACCTCCCGGGCCCTGAAGTCGTTTTTCCCTGACCCCGAGTCTTCTCGCTGTCCACGAAATCAGATCTTCGCATGGCATGCACCCTGAGACAATTACTGCTTTAAGATTGACGTACTCTGCAAGTGAACTTTGAAACCTCCGTCGTTCGCAGCGGATCATTGTTGTTCTTGATCTGTTTTGCGATAAACCACGCCAAATCAGAGGTGGAAGAAGCCACTTCATCAACAAGTTTCGAAGATTTTGATCCTATGTAGTCTGTTGTTCCTAGACCATAAAAAGGGCCTGGCCAATTCATTTCAACGCAAGGCACTCGCGGCGTCTACGAGGGCAAGGAAAGTCTTTCTATTATGCCATTTTTACGCTCGGTGTGAGGAGAAAACGGAAGCGCAACCTTCCTCGACAGATTAGCATGTCATAGCGACAGGGTTTCCTCGAAGTAGCAGAATGTTTGGTCTTTATGTGGACTCTGCAGGGGTCCTTAACCCATGATTTGGCTCTGTACCAGCCACGCCTGACCTTATTGTTCAAGGCAGGGAAAGTAGACATATCCATCTCTTGAAAGACGCTCTAAGTCCAGCCTGCTTCGTGGGCGGTTTTGTGGGGGAGTCACGTCGTGAACTTTTGGTAAGTCTCTTGCGCACCATAACAGTAGTCGTGTCCAGAACCTCCTGAATCCTATCCGGGTTGTTCCGCGAGTCGACCCTTATATGAACACAGTACAGTGTGAAATGTCAGTTCTTGTGCTAGAATCAGAGAATGATAAGAACAGACAAAGCCTAGACATCTCTGTCATTTACCAGATGATCACGATGATGCGCAATCTCAAAGCTCTCACGGTCCCTGCCGAGAGGTCGAACAGAGCGGTGTTCCAGGGCGAGGCATGCTCGCACTACTCTCTATGAACACTGAGCTTGTTGTACTACCTGAATAATTATTTAGGACATCTTTCAGGTATGAGTCTCAAGAGCTAGCTTCAGTAAGAGTTTCAAGCTTTCGAAATTACCGTGGAATGGTCAAATGGAGCTGACCCCAAGTCTGAGGCGGTGAGATTTCGCGGTCGGGGCGTGGGCTGAACCAGCCCTAACTGAGTGTCAGATCGATGTTCAGTTACAGTAGAGATCCTGGTCTGTCACTGACTCATCAAAGACAAGAAAAAGCCTAGACTGGCCCGCTTGGCACATGTTTCGATTCCCGTATTTTTGATGTCGTGGACTACATCGTGAAAGTGTCGACCACTCTTGGCAATTCTTTGTCTCGTAGAGTTTGACTTTACCTGCAGGCTCATAAGCGACGCAATACGAGGAACATTGGGCCTCTCGGTTCAATGGCTGACACTTGATTTGCATTCGGGAACAAACAGCGAGGAAAGACCCGGAATTCCCAGGCGTCATCATGGCTGTCATCAGACGGATTAGGCTATTCGGGAACCCGGCAAGCCGTCCGTTCACCATCGTTTGCCAAGCGTCAGCGCAATGAGGTTCGCTTGAGACCTATAAAGCTCGCTTCCCATCAATACTTTCCAGGTCTGCCTTTCAGTGGCAACCAGAGCATCTGTCAGTGAATATCTAGTTTTTAGCAATACCCCTGCGCCCCAAAATTTCAGAATGTCCACCCCAACCACTATGCGGGCAATCGTGCAAACCGACGCAGACTCCACGACCCTCACCCTAAGAACCTCGCCACTACCAACCATCGACTCCTCAAAGGGCGAGCATCTCATCAAAGTCAGAGCTTGCGCGCCATGCGCCGGAGAGCTCCTCTGGCCTAAGAACTTCCCTCCGCCCAATCCCCGCGAACTGATCCCCTGCCCGGACGTAGCGGGAACAGTCGTGTCCGGACCCGACGACTCGCCCTTTCAGCCCGGAGATGAGATATACGCCCGTACCAACTATCTCCGCCCGGGAAACGCGCGGGATTACAGCGTCTGCGTCACCGGCGAGATGGCGCATCTCCCTCGAGGCTTGAGCGCCGTGGCTGCCGCGGCGATTCCGGTGTCGGCGGAAACGGCGTGGCAGATCCTGCTCATCCATGCGGGGGTCGCCGGCGACGCGGAGGTGGAGTTCGCTACGGCGCAGAAAGCGTGGAAGGGCAAGAGGGTGCTGGTGACGGCTGCGTCGGGGGGTGTGGGAATCTGGGTAACGCAGCTGGCGACCCTGCTCGGCGCGCACGTGGTAGGGACCTGTGGTACGACGAATGTGGAGCTCGTGCGGTCGTTTGGCGCTGCGGAGGTGCTGGATTATCGCCGGGTTGACTTGCGTGAGTGGGCGGAGCAAAATCCTGAGAAGAAGGTCGACGTGGTGATTGATTGTATCGGGCGGAAGTCGCTTCAGGATGCGTGGTGGACGGTTCGGGATGGGGGCGTCGTTCTTAGTATCTTCCAGCCGCCGGAACAGGTGAAACCTGAAGGACTTGATGCATCCGGCATCCGCGGTGTGTTTTTCGTGATGGAACCTGTGCGAAGACACCTGGAGGAGATCACTAAGCTTGCCGAGCTTGGTAAGTGTCGTGGCTTGGTGGACAGTGTCTGGCCATTGGAGCAGTATCAGGAGGCATTCGCAAGATTGAACGGGGGTCATGCTAGAGGGAAGATCATTTTTGACCTCTCCCTCAATCAGTGAAAGGAAACGAGGCAAGGGATGATTGATGATTGCTATTTTTCATGTACTTTTTATGACTGTTGATGATCACCACATTAGCTAAATTAGTCGTTTTGTCCTTCTTTATCCTTCTCATGAGGAGGAATAGCGTCCGGAGCAAAGAATAGTCCAGTATGACGAGACAAGAGGCGCATGCCATCATCGGCCAACTGCAGGAGCAAGAGTTCCCACATGCCTTCAACAAGGCTCGCAAGATCGCCCTGATCAAGAGTATGGCAATGAGAAACTCGGAGATCTGCTGCAAAACAGACTATCTCATCCCGTTAGCAAAGTGAAGATACCCTAACGATACTTACCGCTTTGTGATTTCGTTCCAGACTGGCGGAATCCCACCCATATCCAAGCTATTCGCTGTCACAGGCCAGAACAACAAGCGGAACTCGGAGAAGCGCTATGTGCTCTCGGAATATTTCATAAAAGTCTAGGTGAGGATATGGGTATTCCCTTCGAGCCTCTGGAGTCACAGAGAGGGGTGGCACGATGATGTATACAAAATTTGAAGACAAGGGAGATCGGAAAAGACAGATTCTAGTGAAAATTGAATAAATTCTAGGAACCGCAATTTTCTCATATGATTGCTTATCGAAATTCCTATATAGAGATTTACTTACAATAGCAACAACTTTCTTCGATACTATAGTACTGTACTTTCTATCTCAAGAGTGGTACTATCCTATGAACTTAGTTATGTCTTGATGTCTCCTCTAATTTCCTTTCCAGCTCTATTAGACTGGTGCAGCCGGGATGCATAGTAGTCCAGAGTCTAGATAACATTATTTCTGTTTCAGCACTTGAACGATGCAGCCTTCACACGCCAAGCACTATATCCTTCTAAAACCCTCACAGCGACGCCTTCGCCTCCCTCTTGGGCCTCAGAATCGACATCTGCGTCATATTCGCGACCAGCTTCCCCGCCTGATTCCACACTCTCGCCTCGGAATACGTCCGCCCGTCCGCCCCAGAAACCGTCTTCATCTCCCGCAGCAACCACGACCTCAGATCCCAGTCCGCAGAAAAGACCCTCATCGTAAAGTCCAACGAGGCACAAGCACCCGCGTCGTCCAGAAACCTCCCGCTATGGGCCAGCGCAAGGAAGCTCAGATACGCATCCAGCACGAACGCCAGACCGGCGTAATGATCCGCGCGCTGCGCACACGGCCCGCGCACGCGTATCCAGTCCGCCGACGTCCGCGACGTCAGGGGCAGGGAGTCTTGAGTCGTGGGCTCTCTCTTGGCCATGCCCGTCAGGTTCTGTCCAAAGACGCCCTCTGGGGTCTGTCTCGTTTCGAATAAGCGTGCCAGCAGGCCCAGCAAGACGTTGTAATACGACAGGGCTTGTTCGGTGAGGACCCCCCGCTGTACCATCTTGGCGCCTATCTGCTGGGGAGTTAGGCAGTCTTCCGGGCGATGATACTTCCGCTCGGGTGGGGCGGAGAAGCTGAGGAGGGATTTTTCTCCTTCTTTCTGGAAGTCCGCCAGGATGACCATGCATAGTCGGCTGGTGTTGGTGGTCCCCTGCTGCTGGGTCACCTCGACCTGGCGGGTGGCGAACGTTCGTGTGTCTCGGAGGCGGCGAACGGAGCAGTTGAGTGGAACCTCCGTGGAGACGGGCGCCAGGAAGTGTCCCGTGACGGAGTAGAGGAGATACTGGGATGGGACGGTTTCGCAGGCTGCTTTGACGGCGACGCCCAGGGCGCACCCGCCATAGGCGATGTTGGCGGTGTTGCCCATTTTTTCGGGCTTGTAGCGCGATCGGAAGACATCTGGGCCGGTATTCTCTACGGATATTTGCTCCGCTACCGTGCGGGCAGTGGCAGAAGTCGTGCTGGTGGTCATTGTCACAGGTATGCTGTAGACGTCAAAGGGGTTCGTGCCCGTTAATTTGAGGGGTTCTTCGGTGTCTCGTCGCTCGGAAGCTTAATTTATGTATAGTGCATTCCCGGAGACACGGCCGAGGTCGGGGCGGGGCGGTTTTGCCTGCCTAACTGCCGAGGCTGCGCTGCCACATCTTTGACTAATCAAGACCCTTTAAGAGATACTCATACAACGCCGAATCTTGGTGATGATGAACCGATCTCTTCAGTGTCAACAGCTATCTCAACGTAGGATATATAACAATTTTCTAGACTCGAGAAGTCTTGACTGAGTGGGCTTCTCACGCGCAGTGGCGCAGCGAAGAATGGCATTGTGCCTGCTTTCGGGATGACGGAGACGTGGCACGGGGTGTATCTACAACCTTCGCTGTCCGGAGTATGATGAGCAGAAGGGGCAAGAAGTCGCATCGCTGGGCTCATGAAAGATAGCTGCAGAAGATGGAGAGGTCGGTGGGCCCCTTGGATTGAGGTGACCGATCGTTTCTGCAAAGTCCCTCAATAACGCCGAAGCGACGGCAATGGCATTCAGGCCGGTGGGTGGTTTCTGACGGGCGACAGGGGGTTCTAGACGCGAATGGGAGCCTTACTCTGTGCGGCAGAACGGATGACATGATCGTCATCAATGGGGTCAGGTATAACATGCCCGCGAACTGAAGGCAACTGCGCGTGAGCACTCTCCTCCCTGGGGAAAACCTCCCGGACCAAGCTGCGATTTCAGCTCACCTCAGAGATCTACCAGAAGGAACAGGAAGCAGTAGAAAAACTCATCCTCGCCCACCGACGAGCCATCTATACGTACCCCACCAAAGACCCAGCCAGAGAGAACCATTCTGCAAGTGCTGGCCGATGTCTCCGGCACCAATCCCGACGACCTCGGAAGCACAACTAACCTGTCCGACCTCGGCATCACATCTTTAGCCTTCATCCAGATCCAGCAACACCTCACAAGACGAATGTCACTCTCCGAACTCCTCCCTCTAGCCACCATCATGGCCCACACCCACCGTCCACGACCTGGTCAAGGTCTGCCAATCAGCCACCCCCTACAAGTACAATCCGCTCGTAACCCTTCAACCCCACGGCCCCAAGCCCCCCGTTATGGCTCTGCCATCCCGCCGCCGGTGGAGCCTGGTCTTCCTGAGTCTCGCGGACCCTCATTCGCGACCGACCCGTCTACGCCTTCCGCGAGTGTCTCCAGATATACCACTCGGCGATCCAAGAAATTGCAGCCGCAAGGCCCCAGGGATGCGATCTACTCCTACGGCTGGATGATTGCCTCCGAGCTGTCCAAGCGGCTGGAAGCAGAAGGAAGCGAGGTTCGCTTCCTGGCTAGTTTGAACCAACCCCGGGTACGTGAGTCCGCGGCTGCGGGAGGTGCAATGGCCCGATTGTCTGGGGAATATCTCCTTCTTCCTTGAGATTTTGCCCCATGATGCGCTTACAAAGTGCCTCCAGGCAGGGGGTGGGTCTCTCTCGGAAAGACGCGTTCCGGATGGTGCTTACTCGGGCGGATCAGGTCCGCATGGTTGAGATGGGTTTGGATGAGGCAGGGCTTGCGAGGTGGATTGAGAGAGCTTTTAGCCTGCAGGAGGTCGGGAGGAAGTATCGTCCTGAGGGTACTGTGGAATGTGCCGGGAGAGCATCACTCGGCGCTGAGAAAGGCGCATGTTCAAGGGTTCTCCATCAGGCTGGTCGAGCCTTTGGCTGCACGATGTATTTAACATACAGGGACTAGTCGACGAGGGACGTATATTGGTATCGATATGCGTCCATGGCTTGTTTCAAACACAGACACAAGGAGCAAAACAAGAGGTTTACTGGGCTCTAAGAATTGTTATTTAAACACACCCCATGATTCTAAGAACACCTCTGAGGGAATAAAAATACAGTAGCAAGTCCCAAGCCCCACCCCTCTTCCATAGGGCACGTGGGCGTTGTCCCCAAGGCACCACACCTGAGCCTATTTAAACCTCAAATTGACAATCTATGTTTAGCCCACGCTTCCAACTGGCCAGGACTCAAGAATCCGGTTTGTCAACCTGGAGCTGAATGGCAACAACCTTTGCAGGCTCAATGATAGCACCCAGGACCGGTTCGAACTGCCCACCGGCAGTCACGGCATACAGAACATCCTGAGACCGGCTAAGTGCCAACGCAGTGACGCCCGCCAGATCAGTCGTGAAGAGATTGCCGGCAATCAAAGTAACCCGGCCCGAAGGCTCGACCTTCAGCACGCTGTTCTCTGCATTGGCTGCCACGTAGGCGGTGCCGTTGCGGGACAAAACAAAATCATCGGGCGTGAAGCCGCGGGCCAGGATCTCGACCCGACCGACCGGGGCAGCGTATTCGTTGAAGCGCACGCGGGCAAATAGCATGCCTGTGGTGCTGGTGTAGTAGACGTAGTTGTTGCGGACCTCGATACCGTTGATGCCTACGGGTTTCGGGCTGTTGGGGGCGGGCTTCATGGTTGCGGGGTCGGAGAAGGCAATTGAGTAGTTCCCGTGCGTGATGTCGATGCGCCAGATAACGCCCTTGGCGGAATCAGTGCTGAGCAAGGTGTTGTTGTTGAATAGGGTCAGGCCGTTGAGGAAATCGGCTTTGGGCACTTTGGTGATGAGGGAGGTCTCGGGGTGGTCCGAAGTAGTGAGATCAATCTTCCAAATAGCATAGGTGCCCGGCGTAGAGAGACTCCCCATTGAGAAGTTGCCTGCGACAAGAGCAAACACATCCTCACTGATTTCAGTAATGCCGAACAGACTGCGAGAATTGGGAAACGTTTCAATCAGAGAGGCATTGCGTTGGCCCCGTGGGTCGACACTCCAAAGTTCAGGGACGCCCAGACGTGTGACGAGGACGTCGCCATTGGAACGAACAGCCACGTTCTCCAGCCAGGTACCATTTCTGGCATACTGAAAGAGGGTCCGGCTTCTGTCGAGAGCGGCAGAAACGGAGACAACGGCCAGGGCGGCGATGGCAATGAATTTGGTATGAACCATGGTAAGAATGGATGCTGGACAAAGATGATCTGGGATCGACAACAACAACAACAGCAACTAGCAGTACATTTATAGAAGCTTAAGGTGTGTCTAGCATCTGAAAACCGATTTGGAAAGGGCGAGGTGCCCACTTCTCAGAGGGGAGGTGCCCCCTTCCCCAAAATCTTAAGGATCGGGCAAGTCTCAGTTTCAACTCGGATGCAGAGAGAAAGCAGCCACCTCGCAAAGCCAGAATGGTTCAGACCTTGACAAATGTGCTAATCTTCATCTCTCTGCCATGCGTGATGCGTCATGGCTGGGTTTCATTTAGGTTCGTTCCTTGCCCACCCACCCATCAATTACGAGGACTCTGCTCAAAATGGTGAAAAGAATAATCGAAGGTATTCTCCACTAGATAACCCTCCTAACAATACCTTCGGCTTCAGAAAGACGGAATATTTAACAGAAGAAAGAGACATGAAAAGTACAACAGTACTTAGCGGAGTACTGCTGGGGGCCACACGGGGAGGGGAACCGGGAGAGCATTTGGGGGAGAGTGCTTACAGTAGCTCAGTAGCCTGTATCAACAATTTCCAACCAGAGTACCATGAAGAGCACTACCTGGGCGATGCAGCCTTGGCTTTAGGTTTCGTATCGCTTAAGCCTCAGTACGCCCATCGATGCTTAGGAGCACCTGCTCTGCACAGGAATGTACTGTGTATGAACGGGGTGAGGTTTGTGATGGGGGCGGTAAATCTTGACTTCGTATACTTTGGGGAGTGGCGTTTCCAGTTGAGGATGTCGAGACACTGTACCAGCGCTCTCTTCCCAAGAAAGTAGTCAAAACTATAAGGAAAGCTATCTTAATCAACTATTCGATTTCTCTTAGATAAGAGATTCGCTCCCCGTCAATCTTTAATTATACAACATAGCACAAAAGTGTAAGTTAAGCGATACGAAGCTCAGGAGCCAAAAAGAGATGACAAGAGTGGGATTCGAACCCACGCCATCTTACGATGATCAGGAAGCTGTGAAGCTGGATGTTAAGGTAACCTTAACCTGACGCCTTAGACCAACTCGGCCATCTTGCCCGTGTGATACAGTCATGACACAAACTTAGTTATATAGCCTAGATAAACTACGCGTCCTTAATCTTCCCACAGATAGCCTCATAAATATCGAGTGAACCTCGTATCTTGCTTGAACAGCACAGATGGGCTTGAATGAGGGAGCTCTCGCAGACTTAAAAATGCTCGATAGTTGCTTGCCGACCGGGGCGAGAATACTTCCTCAATCTGGCTATTCTAGGGGGAATGGTTATCGAAAGAAATTGCGCGCCTGGTTAGAGCGCGGCACCTGCACATTTCCTAGGACGATGGCCGCACATGACGAGATAATCGCGCCATGGCCCTGACCACCACCATCCTCTTTGTTCCCGGGCCTCAGCCGATGATGAGCCGGCTGCAAGGTGACCGCATTGAGCGAACACCGCTCTGTGCTGCAAGTCGAGTGTATACCTTTCTGTGATTCGTGACCGGATGCCTGTCAGGGTACTTCCTTGCTTCTGGCAGAGCATTGTGAGCTTTTCGCAAACCGTCATGGGCGTTCGAGCCACCGCCGACGTGGTAGCAGTGGTGCTCCACATCCGGGGTGATTGCTTCTCGAGATGTGAGGTTGGATACTGCCTCACTGTCCTCGAGATGCAGACGATTACCGCACATCAGGCAGTAGCTGGCCGTTGATGAGCTGGCCATCGGTAGCAGAAGAGAGGGAAGATGGTTGAGATAGCGGGACACCATAGAATGTGTTTGATGTCAGGATCGGCGCCGCGAGAAACCGCATAGTACCAGCAGAGGGAAGAGATCAGGATCCCAGATATAGAGAGGCGAGACACGAAGGCGACACGATCCATGACGTCGCGTTCTTGAATGATGGCTTGAGATATAAAGCAAGGATTGCATAGCTCACGGATGAAGTTGAGAAGCCCCCTTTGCATATTCTTTCTTCTTAGTTCGAGCTCTGCAGTAGGATTTTAGCGATATGAGGCTTCGGCCGAGAATAGTGGTGTGTAGGAGAGTTGCTCGTATGAAACCGGCTTAGATATGTCTTACTACATTACCTAGCGTCTTGATAGCACGCTTGTAGGTGGTGTCTCGTGCAGTACAGCTCTAGTGATAGACTAGAATCAGAGGCTTCATGTTTAGTCCGGTTTTGAAGCTCTTGCATGCGCATGCTTCTCGTGAGTCAGCCCTTGGAAGTAAGTACTGATGTTTTACATAAACCCCCAAACCAATCGCGAAACGCTTGCACGACACAACACAACTTCCGGAGAACATTATGCAAGATGGGTGGTTATCGCTCGCATAACAAGAAGAGCGATAGGATTTAACAGAACAAGGGGGCAACGGCGAGTGGATATCTGTCTATGCTACTTCACAACACTTCTGATCGAACACTAGCTATAGGGGCATTGCAGCCTCAGGTTTCGCCTTCCGCATTTCGATTTGGCACTGGGTCTAGAGTCCCATGGTCCCCAGCCCACGGCACTATCCCCGAAAGCTATTGTCCTGGAGCAAGTGGGAACACGAGGTAGTTGGTTGGTTTGTCTTCCTTTGTAAGCCAAATTGTGAAACACTTCGAGACCCAAGACCCTTCGGTTCTGTCCCCAAATTTTGATACCGTTTCCTGATAAATGTGGGCCGGGAGGTAACCATAGAAATCGATCGACAAGGCGCGTACATTAGTTCATGTAGCCAGATTTGAGTATCTCTAGCATTGTGGCTACATACACATCATTCAAAGTCATAATGCGAGCGGATTCAACATGATTGGGTCGGGTTGATACTACAGCCTTAGTCGCCTACCGAAAGACTAGTTAGGCAAATTCTTTTCCCAGCTCAGAAGCCACCACGAGCCGAAAAGGAAGTGTTGTAGTGTCCGGATCCCTGGAAGCGTCCGTTGCACGGCATTGCGCGAGAGCAACCAGCCGGTCGACTTCTCCCCCAAACCATAGGCGAAATACTTCCAGGAGGTCGGTAACGGCATAGCATGGCTGATCTGTGCTATGATCCGTAGGACTCGATGCGGAAACGGGCGACGTCTGGCGACGGAATCTATCGCTCTCATGCAGACCCGAGTCCGGGTGGTTCATTGCCCGTGCCCAGCTAGGGCTGCTACTTGCGAGCTGGGCGTGGGGGATGACAAGTGCTGCGCCGTGCGCCAGCAGCAACGCAATGGATTCAACGTAGGATTGTATCATGTCAACATCCACGGTGAGGAATTCGACGAAGCAACGCGCCGTCCATGTGAGGAACCGTGTCCAGACGGTCCCGCCTTGGTAGGGTTCATTCGGATCGCCTCCGCTGGTCAGCACGAGGCGCACGAGGTCGGGGTTGACGACTGAGTACCCGATATTCAGTGAGCCACGGCGCTGGTTGAATTCCGGTTGGAGGACATGGTCCAGCACCGGGCGGCCTGTCTTGTTGCGGACTGCCGCTGGACCCAGACACGCGTTGACATAGCCTCGCAAGTCAAAGTCGATGGCGAGGGTCATGAAGCAGCTCTGTTCATCCCGCCACCTGTTGGCCAATGTGCTGATGTACCAGCCCATACTCTGGCTGCTGTCCGGGCCGCTAGCGGAAAGAAGCGCTTCCGCAATTGGGGCCAGGACCCGGGCTGCTCTGATGGCTGCCGGCGATTCCCTCCATTCGGGCACTGCCAGTGCGCTCGCCAAATAACTAGTAATCCCAATTGCTAAGTCCCGGTCACTTCCGACCGCTTGCAGGGCGCGGACTTGAAGGATTCTGGCATTGATTAGGTACCTCCTGGCGTCGAAGGGCCCGCCTGTGTATTGGTGCAGAATTCCCTGGATCTCTGGAGAGCAAAGAAAGTCCCGGCAACTGCGATGTAAGAAGCTGATAGTCAGGAGGAAAGTGTGGCCGGTTTCTGTCAACTCAGCGACCTGTTCGCAAAGCGTGGAGCTGAATTGCCGTCCATCATAGTCCAGCAAGGATCTCGGAGTAGTGAGGTCAAGGCAATCGAAGAATTCTGCATCGAATACGCATTCCAGCAGTCCCATACACCGGCTGTTGAGGCGACGGTATGTGGAGTCCAGCATGAATGCAAGCCCTTCACGGTCGGCTAGTTCTAGCGAGGAACAGCTCAGGTTTGTACCGGCAAAGTCGGGGCAGGGCTCGTCAATGAACAAGAGGTCAAGCATCCGCAGCGGGTGAAGCGCGGTGAAATCGGTCTCCTCATGCAGGGCAATCTGAATCATCGTTGAGGCTTCTCGTTTGTATCGGGGAGGGATTGAATCCATCATCCTACGGAAGTATTCATCCAGGTCGGCGGGTATGTCGTCGAGTTTCTGTGATAGGGCTGCCACATTATCGCCATCTTGTAAAGCCTCAATTAGATCGCGAACCACGAGTCGAACCCACAAGAAGACTCCAGCAGCCTTTGAAGTGATGGCCGAGATAAGGCTGGCTGCCTCGGCTTCCTGACGCAGGAGGAGATATCGAAAGCGGCGAGATTGGGTGAGCTCGGTTTGAACGTATGTGCTGATGTCCTGATAGGTGAGATCCTCCAATCGTAGGTGCTGCGTGCTGCCAAAGGCATCCCGGAATATGTTCCAAGGTCTGCTTGACAGACATATTTTCACGTTGGCCTTTCCGCTTATCCTAGTCAGACTTTGAATGACATCCCGTCGCAACTCGTCGCTTCCTTCAAACTCATCCAAGCCGTCAATAAGAAAGAAGATTTTGCAGCGGTCTTGCAAGGCGTCGATACTAAGATGAAGTAGATTCAGTAGTTCAGACTGAGTCCACTCTAGTTTACTTGAGACCCACGTCCGAGGTGTATACTGTTGAGTTGTTTCCGTGATGCGAGTCATCAGTTCAGGCTGTTGCTCGAGAATTTGGGCAAGTAAGGAGCGCAGAAGCCCCTCAAACGACCTTTGTAACGTATTGCCTGCGCTCCAGAAGTAATACGAAGCTCTTATAACAGTATATCCACTCGCCCAAGGAAGCATATGCGCCTTATGATCCAGATTCTGGTCCAGGAAGCGCATAAGGGTCGACTTTTCCGCACCCGGTTTACCGGACACCCAGTAGATGGACTCTCTTGTCGTGGGGGCAGAAAGCCAGGCCACCAGACTGTCGCAGTCACCAGGACTCGTGCTCTGTTGTTGCAGGATCCACAGGTAGGTCTTTTCGTGTGCCGTGCGAATCTGCTGGACACGTTCCTGCATTTGCGGAAACTGGATGCTAGCCAAGAAGATCGTGTGGGTTTCTGTTACTCGTCTTTGCTCATCTAGGCTTCTTAGATGCTCTTGTCGATCGAGGATGTCATGAATTCGGCTTTCAAGTCTGTCGAGCTGAAGCCGTTGCGAAGCGAGAAGCTGGGTTTCAATCGCTTCGTTCACACCGTTTGCCTGCACCTGCTCCAGAACTTGGTGTACATCTGCTCGGATCGATGCACACTGTTTCTCCAGAGCGGACAAGACGTTTTCCTCTAGTTCAGCCGTAGATTGAAGAATGTGGTCCTGCCCAGCCGCAGTGGCCTGTGTATCCCTAGCAAGCACTTAGTGGCAGTACACGAGAGCCTCTGCCAGGAACCTACTTGAGGTAAAATAGAAGAGCGGTATTGAGGTTCTCCCGAGCCCGACCAACGGCCTTAGCCATGGCTTCCATCCGGTCGCGATTCCATAGCGCCTTGACGCTAGCCCGGATGGACTCCAGTAACGCATGCGGGGTTCGGAGCTTTAGCTGGTTCAGCAAGTCGACAAACTCGATCGACAGACGAAGACACTCTTCGTTGGCCTGTCTCAGGCGAGCCAGAGCAGGAGTCAGATTGCTTGGCTGATTGGCGTTTGGGATGGAGGCCTGCAGGTCGACATTCATACTCATCAGGCATTGCAGTACGCCTTGCAGGTCCTCATGCTCGCGTAGAGTGCCAGAGCCGGCTTTGCGGTAATCCAGAGCAAGGCTCAGTGTTTTCTGGCCAAGCTCGATGATCTGAAGAATGTTACAGGCGAGAGAAAAGGCGCTTATAGGATCCATGCTGCAACCAACTGTGCGCCTTGAATTGCCCGAGGGTGGAGGGTATCACAGCCCTGCCTCTATGGTTGGGGCGGGGTAATCGAATTGACAAGGCTTCCGCCGATAGATCGAGGCCCTGTCATGGCGTGTCATGTGCCTCACTCCTCTCCTTCTCTCCACTTGTCTGTTCATCCGGATAGTCTGTTTGTCCGTGTGTATAAATGGTACTATTGACATACTTCGTGGTGACAGTGGCCGGCATAGCATCATGTATGTCCGTGAAGAAAACTTCAGACGGAGAGAAGGAAGGATTATTGATGCCAGAGTCCTTTCTCACAGATGGAGAGAGAATATTGGAAAAGAAGAAATGGATGAACCACCAGAAGCCGAGCCGAGGAAAGACTACGGTACGGTACGGTACGGAGTACCCCGTTTACATCAAGGCGGAAAGCTACGGCAGGAACGGACCTTACTCCAATAATTTGCCCTGATTCAATCATTACTACTGCACCAACCAAGAAAAGAAGAAAGAAAAAGGGAACAAAAAAATAAAAAAAAGTGCAGGCAACTCAGCCTTGCTCCCACAATGACTACCTGTAGAAACGAGCTTGTTCCTTATCAATTATCATGACCTAGACACAGGAACCCATAAGTTTTTCCAGTTGCCAGATCAGGGAGTAGTTTGAGGGCGGTACCCTGATTCGTCCCACTATAGAGTCTCCCCAGGGCCCTCTAAGACTTTAATGATAAGCTTGAGATATGTCAAATAGGCTCTATGTAAGTGGTCAGATCACTATTGTTTGCATACGCCGGCATAGCGTGGGACCTTAGTCTTGATAAGACGAACCATGTCTGCTATGGGTGAGGGATCATACCCCCTGCTCATTGAGCTCAGCCCTACGCCATAACAGAGTCTGGCTTAGTGATGGTGGTGTTGTACTGTCCTTGAAACCATATTGTTATAGTTCCCTAGTGTGAGCTGGTCTCGACAAACGTCATGCTTTGCGCAAATACTGCTAGTTCTTGACTTGTTCGTCAAGATGATGGGGCCTACCAAAGGCGGGCTATGGCAAATATGCATAGTCAACTCCAATTAGCCCTACTAAAAAAGCTATACCATATCGTTGTGAACCATCTCCATATTCTTTATTCAGAACAGTATCTTTGACCTAAGAGAAATTCATCTGGTCTAATGACTTGTGGGGAGTCGGCAACCACCGGGGCGATATCTCGTATTGTGCGAGATGCTTAGACAAAACTGCCCCGCGAGTCCGACGGACCGCGCGAAGAGAACTACTAGACCCATCCTAAACACGCGTAGGGTCTCATGACTCTTATCACATCCAATCCAACTAGGTCTTTACGTTAGGCTTACTGTAACCGAGCGGAACCCTTATCAGCTAGTGCCACCGAGCGATGCCACCAAAATGCTTAGCCCTTGCTTGGCCTAAGTGCCGACCTTGCAGGTCCGGCTGCGATAGGGCCAAGCATCACACAACAGCGACTAGCAATGCTTGCGTGGCTGATCAACTGCAAGCGAATCCGCCACTGGGATTCAGGTTAGCCGACCGGTGTCCGAAGAATATGGCTCTGCCATGATATACATCAATTGGTAACTCCGCGGTCAATGGCACCTGTGCAAGAGCGTATGATTCTCAGGTTTGCAGCCATGGAGAACAACCGCGCAAGGCTCTCCAGAGACGGAGGAATGCCCGGCAAGTGTGGGGAGAAAGCTGCTTTTGACAAAGCTTCGACAGAGCCAAGAACCACCGAGAAAGGCGAAACGCTTTCAAGCGACGAGGATGGAGGCTTTGAGAGCGATCAGGTGGTGAGCACCGCCGCTGATCTGGTCACCCACATTATCAAGGTCGAGGATGATCTCTCGCTCAACCCTTGGAGTTTTCGGATGGTCTTCCTAGGTAGGTTTTTGACTGTCAGTAAGCGAGCGACAGGCTAATGTGTGGCCTACGTCTTCTCAGGGGCCGGATTGCCAATTTTCGGCGGAGTCTTGCAGGAGTTCTCTTACTTCAAACCGCAGACCATTTACGTCTCACAAGTCTTTTTGACCGTCATTGCCTATGTTCTGGGCGAGTTGATGGCCTATGCCATTCCGCGTCGCGGCGTTATTGGACGGCTGTTGAACCCCGGGCCGTTCAATTCCAAAGAACTCGCTACCATTGCCCTCATGTCTTCAGCTGCAACTCAGTCTGCAATGGCCACTGAGGCTCTGTCAGCTCAGGAGCTTTTCTACGTGGCTATCCCAATCACGCCGCTGCTGTCTTCGTCGTCCTCTCTTCCCAGCTCATTGGATTCGGTATCGCGGGTCTGTTGCGCGACGTGATTGTGCGCCCGACTAAGATGATCTGGCCCATGACACTCCCCATCAGTAGTCTGCTCGAGTTCATGCACAAGGATAAGCAGGAGGCCAAGGCACGATTGAAGATCTTTCTATATCTTCTTTGGGGTGCTGTTCGTCTGGACCATCATTCCCGAATACATCTTCCCCGTGCTGGAGGGCGTCTCCATATTCTGCTTGGCCAACCAGCACAGTCTTGTCTTTACCAATCTCTTCGGCGGGGCCTCCGGGAATGAGGGTCTAGGATTTCTTTCTTTGTGCTTCGATTGGGACTATATCGCATCTCTGGGTTCACCACTCTGGTATCCGCTGTATGCCATGACCAACAACTTCATTGGCTACATTGGATGCATTATACTCTTCATGGGGGTCTATTACGGCAACATCTGGCGCTCGCAAGACTTTCCGTTCCTGTCTCAGTTGCTCTATTATGGAGACTCGAACTCCACGTACTACCATGATACAACCAAACCCTCATCCTCAATGCAGACTATACGGTGGATCCTCAAGCCCTTCAGGAACAGGGTCTACCCTGGTTGACCGGGACTTACGTCGTCTATCTCATCACATCGAACATGGGTCTGACCGCCACATTGACGCACATGTTGCTTTGGAACTTTGAAGACATCAAGATAGGCTGGGAATGGGCTGCACCGAGCCGGCTGAAGAAGTGGCTCAAGCTTGAGACGTACAAGTTCTGGGCAAACCAAGAAACCCCGGAGGAGCGATTGCAGCGTCGCGTCAACGACGAGACGCTTGATCCCCATTACCGTCTCATGTTGCGCGACCTATACTACGACACTCCCCTCTGGTAATGGGGAGCAGTACTGATCGGTAGCTTTGCCGTCGGTCTAGGCTATCTCTATGCCATGAAGTCTACGCTGCCATGGTGGGGGTTTATCATCGCCAACTTGCTTCCTCTTCTCTTCATGCTCTTCTTCGGCTCTCAATATGGGCTTACGGGATTTCAGTTCAACGTGCAACCCATCTGTCAGATGTTGGCTGGTTACATGTTCCCTGGCAGGCCGCTGGCCAGTAGGTCTCTCTCTTTCCTTCCTTCAATTTCCGTCACTAATGGCGTGCGGATCTCTACTTCACATGCTTCACATATAATTCTCTTCAACAGGGCCAGGTTCTGGCCATAGATCTACGACTTGCACAGCAGGTCCATTTGTCTCCACGATGCACTTTCTTCGTCCAAGTCGCAGGTTGCATAATTGGGGCTTTATTCAACTACGTGATGATGTTGATAGACGATTCCCATATCAGCCTGCACTGGTTCATTTATTTCTGTCCCCTAATCCGAGTCATGTCTTCCAACAGCATTGTATGCAATCAATCTGAAGTCCTGCTTTCCATCGACGGTACCAATATCTGGAGCGGTGCCAACATTCAGATAAATGCCCCAGCCTCCCTCGACAATGAATCCAGCTAATCCCAGATTACCAGTTTATTAGTCTGGCAATCGCCTGGAGTCTCGCCAAGGACATGTTCTCGATCGGTGGTCGGTACCAATGGGTCACAATCTCCTATCTGGTTGGCTTCGTCGTCCCTGTGCCCTTCTGGCTGGCGCACCGCATCTACCCCTCTCGCATCTTTTCGTACCTCAACACGTCGATCATCCTGTGGTACTTGGGCTGGCTTTTCGTTGGTATCAATGCCTCCATCATGACCTTTTTCCTAATCGGGTTTGCCGCCCAGTTCTGGCTGCGTCACTACCACCCACACTTGTTCTACAAATACAGTTACGTGGTCTCGGCCGCCCTAGATGGGGGCACCCAGGTCTGCGTCTTCATCCTTACCTTCGCTGTATTTGGTGGTAGTGGGACTGAGCACGCTTTCCCGTGATTGACTCCTAACGTTGCTTCTGAATCCTTTAGCTGACGGGGGGGGGGTAGGACCTGGACGGGCAATCCAGATACGAGCATTCATAACTTGGATTACTGCAAGGTGAACCCCGCGACACTGTAGTCGAGATTGCTGCTCGGGTGATCTTTGGGGTGTATACTTTGGTTAATTGCTCGGCTCTATAATGCATAATGATACTTAGTGATTGCCTTGGAGCCTTGTGAATTTCCAGGATGAAGGGAAAAATGTACTCAAGTAGTTGAGTTCTGAATCTACCCCAGAGGAGTTCATGACCCAGATTGATTTTCGGTGGGTATGTAGAGTAATCATGCATGCGTGACACCTACCACTAGATAACATCAAATTTAGCGAGTCCCTTGCTGAGGCTTGTCCATGAGGACTGGGTCGGAGGTGAGGGGTCAATGTGCAGGATGGGTGACACCTCAGGCATCAGTCAGTCTTCCCGCTTCATCTCTTCTAATTCGCTTCAATCATCATCTTGCCCACTGCAGTGTGCCTGGACCTCTGCGTTCGCCACCTCCTTGGCCCGTGGTCGCTTCATCTCACTCGAGGAGAAGCGGCAGACTGCGTGCACTTTGGCATTGGCTCGGCTAATGTCTGGCCGCTCAGGGAACCTCAGTTGCAGGCTTGCAGCAGTCCCTGTCGGAATCTCGGGTGATAAACTGACCACCGACCTCCGATGCTTTATTTTTCCCTCGACCCACAGCCTGTGAATCCCCCCGACCCACTGGCCAGAACGACGGCATCTTGCAACTTCCTGCAGTGCCTGCGTGCTGGTCTTTTCACAGGCCCACAACAACTGACACCTGAAAGCATTTTAAGAACTTGCTCCTGCCCCTAGGGCACGCTTGATTCTGGGTAAGACAAGCCTTAAGCATCAGTATAGCCATCGACTCTGGCACCACGATCATGCTGGCCATGAATGCCTGTGGTCTCGCCAGGGATGTTGATCTGCAACTGCTGACTCCGTCCAGACAAGCGAACCTCCACTCCAGGTCTTGGCACTACGCAAGTCTAATAAATATCAATGCAGCGTTGCAGGCACGTTCCTCTGCGAATTCTTGCACCTTGCGCGCATCATGTCTCCTGCTCCTCACGCGCATCATCCGCCAGGTCCCCCGCCGCCCTTAAACCAGTCGTGCGAGAATTGTCGCGCCCTCAAAGTCCGCTGCTTGCCCGATCCCAATATTCCGCACCAATGCCAGCGTTGCACACGCACCAGGCGGACCTGTGTCTTTGCGCACACTCTGCGACGCCAGCCCCGGAAAAAGACCGGATCACGGGTCGCTCAGCTGGAGCAAGACGTCCGCGATTTACGCGCTCTGCTCCATGAGCAGAACGGCCCGAATTCCAAGTCAACCCCGGTCGGCGGCCACACAGCGGCCGCCGCTGTTTCCCTTTCCCCTCCGACCACCACAGACACCGCTACCGCCACCATTGCCAGTCCCGTCTCAGAAACCATTCCCACTCGTGCGACGGTCACTACCCCATTTGCCGCCGCTATTCCCGACTCCGCCCGGGGCCAAACTACCTCCGCATCTTGTCCCCCTCGTCCGATCGGGACGAGTCCGACCGTCGATCACTCTTCCCATGTAAGCACCGCTGGCTCGACCTTTATGGGCTCTGCAGCTGGCGCTGGAGATGTGATCGATCGTGGGGTTCTCTCTCTCGAAACCGCGCAAATGCTACTGTCGGTGTTCATCGCGGAGCTCACTCAATTTTATCCGGTGGTCGTTCTCCCAGATGATACGAATGCCGACTTCCTGCGCAGGGCGAAGCCAATGCTGTTCCTGTCCATGATCGCTGCTTCTGCGTTGACGCTTGAGACACCGCACGCGACCGTTCTGCATGAGGAGCTTCTCGCGACTTTTGCGCAGCGATTTTTCCTGAGGCAGGAAAAGTCTCTGGATCTGGTACAAGCCCTTCTCATCATGCTCATCTACTACTTGCCGCCCAAATCAGCGATACATGGGCAGTATTACCAATATACACACATCGCAACGACCATGGCGCTGGAGCTTGGCTTAGTGGCGGGTGCGGTTGGCCGCAAGAATCAACGCTGCCATGCTGGCGAGGGAGAGCTGCCCCCGCCAGTACTGAGTGACCAAGCACGAGCCGTGCTCGGCTGCTACCACTTTGCATCCAAGTATGAGCTTCTTGCCACGAAAATCATTATGATCGACATACTAACAGTTCGTCTACAGTGTCAGCATGCAAACCCGACGACCGAACATGCTTTGCTATAATGCTGTCATCGGTGAATATGTCAAGCATCTCAGCGATTCCCCCAATCCTCTCGACCAGCAATTGGCGGCATGGTTCGGACTGCAGCGGATAATAGATGAGACACTGGCGGCGGCCGGCCATGACAATACTCTAACCGACACACCCATGTTGGAATCCCAAATGGTGCCGATCCTCAAATGGTTCGACACTCGTATGCTTCAGTGGAAGATGTCCCTCCCGAAGGAAATGTTCACGAGTAACGTGCCCCTTCGACACCAAGTCCAACACCTCCAACCGCAAGCTAATAGTGTCCAGCTTGGATGACTCTCGAATACCACTACCTCTACCTCGCAGTCCACGAACATGCCGCCGGCGAGGGCTATCGCGATCCCGACGCCCCCACGCGCAGATACTACACCCTTCCGCCTCTCGAGGGTGACACCGAGCGCCACCGGGCCAACGTCCCGCTCAGCGCGGCGCGGGTACAGATCATCACCAAATGGATGCTCTCCGCCCAGCAACTCCTCGACCGCTTCCTGCAGTGCGACATCCCGACCATGCGCAGACTCCCCAACATGACCTACACGCGCATGATCCTGGGTTTTTCCTCCCTTCTGCGCATCTACCACATGACCCAACTCGGCCCGTTGAGCGAGGTCATCACCCCGCAGATGATCAACGTTGACGAGTACCTCGACCGCCTCGCGCAGGCCCTCGCGGACGCCTGCGACAATCAGCGTTGCCGCGTTCCCAGCAAATGGCACTATGTCGTGGCCGTCAAGAACCGCGAGTGGTACGAGCAGCTGCAGCGACGACTGGCCGGCTACTCAACGGAGAGTAGTACCTCGTATCTGCGCGGGATCTTCCCCCCGTCCTCCGGGGCCTCGTCGGAAGTGGCTGGCACCAACCCTCCTGGGATGCTGCCCTCGCTTGTTCCCGGGGGTGCCGGTGCCCCCGCGTACATGGAGTCGTGGTACGCCGCTGCCGCCGCCGCGGCCGACGACCAGGCTGCGCGTCCGGATGGGGTCAGGGATATCCCGGCCGTGGGTGGCGCGGCGGCGCCCATGATGTATCTCTCGTCCATGCCGGGGGTCCCTGGGCCCGTAGGAACGGGTGCGGGGCATTTCGCGCCGCCGGCCGGCGGCCATCCCGGGTGGCGGCTAGATGAGCCACTGCCCGATCTCTCGTTCCCGTATTGATAGTGATGATAGACATGTTTAAATGAAGCGACGAACATTCCTTTCTTCTTGGTTGAGCTTATGTTCTTCATACCCTGATATAAACCCCCTTTGTACGCCGTAGCTGCACCGTTGTGCGTCTAACTTGGATGAAAGGAGATCTGCGATAGCGCTCAGTTTAATACCACACACCCAGAGAGCACCACATTCATCCCCTCGACACCGCAGATCAGTTCTGCTCGTACTGTAGAGACGGCAATTTCCCCCATTGACCCCCCTTTCTGCTCGTATTCCGCAGACTAAACACAGGGTCCTCGGGCATGAACGGTGAGGGTGTATCCGACCTCCGACGCCAATGCCGATGCCGATACCCATGTGGAGAGGGGTGTGGACCCACGGGTGCAGGGCTGGGGGGGAAGAAGAGGAAATTCTTCGTGGATATCAGATTAGATTAGATTGATGCCGAAGATAAAAAAAAGAAAAGAAAAGAAAAGAAAAAAAGGTTGAACTCAACAAGTAGGTGTCTTGTGGTCGCAGGCTGGGGATTTCAGATGGGAAGGGAAGCAGCACTGGGCAGGAAAAATGACTGCCCCTGCCAGTGCTTGGGTACAGCAGGCCAGCATCCGGGTCAAATTGGTCAACCCAAGTTCGGGGGGGGAGGGCAAAAAGTGATGACAAGAGTGGGATTCGAACCCACGCCACTTGCGTGACTAGGAATATTGCTCGACGAGCGAATATATGTGATCAGGTACCTGACCCTAGCGCCTTAGACCGCTCGGCCATCTTGCCGTTGACGGAAGATTTGTACCTCTATGGCTTCTTGGCCGAATGCACGAGCGGGGCAGATATCCCTCCCTCGCTCGATGCTTTCAGTTGTAGGTGGGAGCGGTGGTCTGAAGTCATATCATTCTTTGTGATTGCTGCTACTTGCATGATTGGTGAGCTAAATGCCCTTCTGTATATGGTTGTGTATTAGTCGCAATATACGGCGATGCCCATTGTCCGACAAAGTCTCCGCTTCTGAACTTGTAATCCGAGTGGTAACTATAGCACTTGGAGAGGATGGCTAGGGAGCAGCGGTGCTACCTTGACAATCATGATGGGAGGCCATTGATCGGCTTTCGTGATCACTGCTGCGTTTCGTGCAGTGTGTCGGCGCTGGGCTGTATGGTTAGGGACTGCCATTGTCTGCGCTACTGGTAAGGCTGCACAGGGTAGGAATATTTTATACCATACCAATCGATCTCCAATCTTGTACCCATATCATGCAGTACCCATGCATACATAATAGGCATCTTTTTTCTGTCTTCTAGTGTTCGGGTGTCCAGGTGATCCGGACATTAAGTTTCATGTACTCGGCCCGGTGTATTGCATATTCTACATTTGCTGGTATGGTTTGTTGCATCTGATATTGGCTTGCATCTACTGCTCCGCGGGTGGTTGGTTACAATGACCTAGGCGGTCGGTGTTGTAGTCGAGGTCTTCGCTGCTTCTGTATGTCTTTTAGATCGTCTTGTAGTACTTGATTCTTCTGGGTGCCTGAATATAGTCTGAATCGGCTTCGATTTCATGCTAGCGAGATCCTGCGGCAACCGTCTGCGACACAGATCCCATGAGAAAATTGCAATAGAATTGACGGTCTTGCGTGCCTTGCTCGGTGTTTTTTTTTTTTTTTTTTTTTTTTTTTGTTTCCCAGTTTGAACCTATCAAGATTGACGGTTTTCAGAGGGTGGCCCCAACAACCCCCTAAGCAGCGGTTCGGTCACTGTACGCCAACGGTGACTATATTTCGATATTCTGACGGTCTCTATCGGGTAAACCAAGAACCGGCTGGAGCATCTATTTGGCAGGCAGTAGCCAGTCTTGTATGCCCACCTCATGTACCTCAGGTGGTGCGTCCTGTATGGCGCAACCAAGCCCGTTGCTCACTAGAATATATAACCAACCACATTGAAGCTATAGACATACAACCGATCCACTACTACTTGCGAAGTAACGCATAATCAACCAGACACGGGTCTCATTACTGCAGCTATCATGCACCCGTCATTTATTACACCACAAATAACAAACAACGCAATCGAACCATATAAACCACCACAAAGTGCCCACCACTATCCCCCGAGACCGGATCCAGGATTCAATATTCCAACCGTATGTAAAGCACAGTTTAGGTCCTGTTCTCAACGAATAGGCAAGATGGCCGAGCGGTCTAAGGCGCTAGGGTCAGGTACCTGATCACATATATTCGCTCGTCGAGCAATATTCCTAGTCACGCAAGTGGCGTGGGTTCGAATCCCACTCTTGTCATCACTTTTTGCACCTGACCATCATGCTGGTTCCCACTCAACTGTCCGTATCTTTCTTTTTATGTTTATGTTTATCTTTGTTTTTCTTCTTCTTTGATTGATTGTCAGCTTTGTCACTGCACTGTCTTCCTGCGAAAGCACGGCAGAGCGTCGGCCATTCCCGCCTTGCCACGATCGAGGGCTCCACTCAGGACGAATTTGAGTTTGCCCCTTTTGTCTTTCCATGGGGTTTGTTGGACGAGGCATCCTTACTCAGCCGACGTGCATCGAACCGAAATGAGCTACATCGGTTGTGCATGAAGCTATGACATCATTCTGTCACTCACCACTACAGATCGAGTGTGCGGTATAGACACTCGGACTTTCACCGAGCGAGAGGGTGCCGCCTGTCTTACCGTACTGGTGGATCAGTAGCAGTTGATCCGCCAAAGTCAATAGTTCAATGCATAGTCTACCGGTTAGTCAGTTTGGGTGGAGACTTGAGTTGCTCGTGCTAATATGCACAAGTACCATCTACAGATATATTACACGCGAATACTGTATAGGGCAAGAAAATTGGCGTGCCTATACTCCGCAGTGGCTTTTGCATACACTTGAGGATGTCACAGATGCTGGATTGCGTACGCTGATTGTTTGCGCGGTACAGATAACACTAATAGGATGCCGTACATAACAACTGGCAAGATGGCCGAGCGGTCTAAGGCGCTAGGGTCAGGTTTATCTGATCATACATATCTGCTCCCAAGAGCAACTATTCCTAGTCACGCAAGTGGCGTGGGTTCGAATCCCACTCTTGTCATTCCTTTTTGCTTTGTTGCCGATATCTTCTGTATCTTCTTCACAGCCATTGCTGGGAAGCTTCCTTGTTGTGCCCGTCATCATCGAAGTCTGTACTGCGAGAGTAATAAGCACATCAAGGTCGAAGGATATCCAACAATTTCAACACGGTAACCCAAAAGGCGGATATGATGGCTCGCTTTGAAATTGTATGTATTAACGTATTCATGCTTATGTGCGGAAGAATGATCATTTAGCGATGGACCCTTATCCGCTGTGATGCCACACCGGACACTGGGAGATGAGCAGTATATCGTACACCAGCATTGCATAACAGAGCATAAACCCTGCCCGTATGACGTCGACATGCTAAGATCGCAGCCTCGGTCGCAACTTGAGCGTTTCCCCGGCCATGGAGCTGTGGCCATGGAGTCATGATCATGTCATTCATGCCCTCTTCTATCTTTAGAAACGGTGCGGAGAAGAGTCCGGCTGGGACACCAATATCAGGGAAAACTATAGATCGGCGGTTGCTAAGCCCTTTATCTGTACCTCGGATCTTCGATCGGGCTGGAGATCTTGTGAGTAGTACGCTGGAGTACCGGGTCTGTTGTTAATGATAATAATGATGATGATGATGGTCTCTCCTGTTGTCTGTCTATCTACCGCCCTGTGATGCTCTGATGAACTCACACTGGCTATTGCCTGAAACAGAACAAAGTTTACATGCGGGTGAACAGAGGGTGTCCACTAAATCACTATTGGATCTAGCCCCAAGTCATGCAGGAAGCTAGCGGCGACTGCGTCTGACAGTTTTGCTTCGGATTGTGTGTGGGTGTTTCAGGACGGGAGGGAGTTTTGACCCTGAGATTAAGGGATTACGCTGAAGCCGTAGCCCAGCCTTACGAGGAGCAGGACACCGTGCTGAGCTGAGCCTAGACCAGTGGCCTGTATGTCGACTTTTGGAATTGATAGGTCCAGATTTCTATCAGTACTCAGACTGTGTATGAGTAAAAACCGAAGAAGACGAAGACTGAAATGTACTTGAGTATGTGGTTTCTATCCGGTGTAAGATGTAGAATGCCAGCCCTCCTTAATATGGCGGGCATTGTCCATTCACACTGCGACCGTACCTGAGGGAATCCCGCGGGTTGCAGCGTAACAAAACCACCAGTGGCGTTTTGGAAGTGGGGCAGTGAAGTTGACATAACAAAACTAAGCAAGCCCTAAGTCGCAGCCCGATCGGGACGAGAGGGTAGGGTCGGCTTGTTTATGTGGTTTGATTGGTGGTCCGCGGCAAAGACCATTGCCTGTTTGGGCCCTTGGAGTTGGGGTCCACATCTTTCTGTTTTCTTTCAGCTTCACTACGGAGTCTTTCCCACCGCCACCAACTCCCCAGTGGGGGCCACCATCTTGCTCGGACGCCCTCAGCTTTCTGCATTGCACGGAAGAGGATTGCTGTATACCCCAGTATGAATTCATACTTGAAGAAGGGAAATGGAATCGCCAAAGATTGAGTTGCCCAACCGACAGCAACAATGGAGGCGGAGAATGATCGACAGATTCCTCCCCAATCGCAATATTGCACAACCATGACTTCAGGGCCCTCTACACATCGAGATAAACTGAAACATGGTCCGCGTGGGTATCCTCTTTTTTCCCTTATTCTGATTTCGACTTTTTTTTTTTTTTTTATCTTTTTTATTTCCAATTCTCTTGGACCTCTTTGGGTGGTCAGGGTCGTGCAGTCTGACAAGTCGCCTTGTTGACTCTCCCGCCTTTCTTATCTGTCTGTTTACTGGTCTGATCTTGCTTCTTTTGTGTCTCGGTTTCATAATCTCTCTCGCTCTCACTCTCTCTTTTCCGACTGGCCCTCTCCTCACTTCGTTCACTCACTTTCAGGAGTCCTAATCAAATCTACTCGCGTCGGAGTTGGGGATTTCCTCCCAAGTCTGTCGATCGCTGACTTAGTCCACGCGGTCTCCTCAATTTCCACCATTCGACCCACTGCCCAACTCCACACGAACCGGTGGACTCAGCACGCGTTTTCTGCCACTGATCGTTGGTTCCTGCTTTGCCTCTGGTGGGAATCGCTTGAGATTCACCCCCTCAGCCAATTGCGCTTGCGCTTACGCACTGGGGCTGCAGGACAGCTTCTGGACTCCTCACCCTAGTCGATCGTTCTTATATCGCCCTCCCCCCGTCCGGCCGCCCTGATGTCAGGAAGGCCTGGCATCACCGAGAAGCGGTTGTCCGCCAAACGCTTCCATCAGCTTCGCGACATGGCGCCAGACAACATGTTAAATCCTAATGATGTTACCATCGATATCCCCCTGAACACAGTCCCCAGCCGGGGTCAAACAGGCGCTCGCAAGTCCAGCGTCAACGGTCCCGACTCCCCGGATCCTTATCAGCCACCGGTCGACAGCAGCGAGGAGAAACAGGGCCTGGTCGCACCGAATCCTGGTCTGCGCAGACGAATCGACGAATCGTCGGGCCGGTCGATCGATGAACCCGAGGATGGCACAATCACTCGCGTTGGCCGCTTCTACCAAGCGGTCCTCAACTACTCAATTGCTACCCGTTATTTAATCTACGTGACACCACTCGCTCTGTTGCTCGCCATCCCCATCATTGTAGGAGCCACGGCCGCGCAGGACGCGACTATTGGCGGAGTGACACTGCCTTGGTTCTTCTTTTGGTTCGAAATTGTGTGGATTAGTTTGTGGGCATGTAAGCTCGCCGCGCGAATCATCCCATACGTCTTCCAAACACTGTGTGGTTTCGTTAGCTCGGGCACTCGCAAATATGCTCTCATCTTACGAAAGCTTGAGTTTCCAATCGCCACGGTTCTGTGGTGTGTGGTGTGCTTGGTGACATTTTTGCCGGTAAGAGGCGCCATTTCTCTATCGTATACTAGTGATGCTGATTGAAGCCCTCCACAGGTTATGACGCAGAACCCCCACCAGAAGAAAGTGGGCGATACCTCCACCAAGTCCTGGGAGAAGTCGATCAAAAACATTCTGTTCGCTCTATTTGTTTGCAGCCTGATATTCTTGGGCGAGAAGACAGTTGTGCATTTGATCTCCATTAGCTACCATCGAAAGCAGTTCGACGCGAGGATCAAAGAAGGCAAGCGGAATGTCCATCTTATTAGTCTCTTGTACGATGCCTCTCGGCAGATGTTCCCTCTGCACTGCAAGGAGTTCCGAGAGGAGGATGCCGCCATTGCGGATTTCTTACTGCGAGACACAAGCAGCGGGAAGACGCGCCTGCCGACTAGCGGCTCGGCCCCTCTTCGCATGATCCGCGGAGTCGGCCAGAACGTTCAGAAGATCGGCCAAAACGTTCAGAGGATTGGCGGCAAGGTGACGGCCGCCTTCGGTGACGTCGCCCACGAACTTACCGGCAAGCAAGTTTTCAACCCCACCTCCACCCGCTCGATTGTCGCCGGGGCATTGGAGCATCGCAGGACCTCGGAAGCCCTTGCGCGCAGAATCTGGATGTCATTCGTGGTGGAAGGCCGGGATGCTTTGTATTTCGACGATCTTTGTGAGGTGCTCGGCACGGGGTTGGAAGGCGAGGCCGATGAATGCATGAAGATGCTGGACCGCGACGGCAACGGCGATATCAGCTTGGACGAGATGATTCTGGCGATTGGAGAAGTCCAGCGCAACAAGAAGGCCCTGAATAACAGTTTGCATGACATTGATCAGGCCACCCGAGTCTTGGACAATCTCCTGATGACCGTGGCCTTCATCGTTGGTCTTCTGGTCTTTGTCTCTTTCGTGACGAGTGGATTTGGCACGGTCATCGCAGCAGGTGCCAGTGCCTTGTTGTCCCTCAGTTTCGTCTTCTCCACTACTGCACAGGAAGTACTGGGCTCATGTATCTTCCTCTTCGTCAAGCATCCATTCGATGTGGGCGATCGTGTCGAGATCAGTGACAAGCCCTTCTTCGTCGAGCGCATTTCCCTACTTTTCACCGTGTTCCGCAACGTCAACGACCACCGGATCACGCAGATCCCTAACTCGGTCCTCAACAGCTTGTGGGTCGATAACTTCACCCGTGCCAACGCCATGCACGAAGTCCTTAAAGTCCCCATCGATTTCGACACCACGTTCCAGAACATTCAACGCCTGCGCGACGAGCTAGAGGAATTCGTGCGTGACAAAGACAACTGCCGCGACTTCCAGCCCGACATCACCATTGATGTCAGCGGCGTCGGCGACATGGACAAGATGGAGTTGAGCGTGTACATCCGCCACAAGTCCAATTGGTCAAACGAAGCGGTCCGCGCGACGCGACGCTCGAAGTTCATGTGTGCCCTGATCGCCGCCGTACGCCGGGTGCCGATCCGCAAGCCGGGATCTGGTGGCGGCGACGATGAGAAGAAGCCGGAGGATAAGTTGGAGGACACACCTGAGATCATCGTTGAGGATGTGGTCAAGCGAGCCCGACGGGACTCCGCCTCCAACGAGCCCGTTGTTCGTCGCATCCCCCCAACGGAGTCAAGCTTTGCCACGACCGAGTCTCGCTCCACCGGCTTCGACATGGGCCAGTCGCCGAACTCCATCCAACGCCGCGGGGTGGGTGCCTCTGTTAGCTCCTACAGCGAAGGCCTCAGCGCCGAGCATGCATACCCCACCTCCCGCGATGGCCAGGAAGCCGACCAGTACCAAACGCCCGCCGAGTCACCCGGCCCGGAGCGCACGCGCAGCGTCAACTACGGATCCGTGACGCGGGAGCACTCGACCGGCCGCCGCAAGGAGGGAACGGCTAATATAATTTCGACCGCCACGGGCGGCGTCCCTGTCTTGTCCGAACCGGTTCCTCCCCGGCGGCAGCAAGGGCAGCAGGAGCAGCCGCCCGTGCGTCTAGTTCCCGAGCACCAGCAGGCTGCAGCCCAGACACAGCAGGCCGGAGCAGCAGCTGCGGCTGCCAACGGGGCTTCGGTTGCGCGCCAGCAGCCCGAATACTACAGCTACCAGGGCCAGTACTACCACCCCGTCGAGGAGGCGTACGACCCCAACCAGCCGTTCGAGCTCCCATCCATGGAGGAGCCCTCGGCCGAGGCAGAACGGGAGTACTCGTCACACACGTTGGCTTCGTCGCGGACGGCGTATTCGGGCGAGTCGAGTGAGGAGCAACATCAGCCGAGGTCATATCCCGCGCGCCGTAACCCGTACGAGGGACAATAATTGGAACAACCAACCACAGAAATAGACACACCAAAACAATATCCACAAAAGTAAACGGATCTGGGCAGGAGAGACAAACTGGAGTAAGGCGTGGTTGTCATAAGTGACGATACGATTTTCAATTCCATCCATGGGAATGGCGGGAATTTCTGTATTTTTATCAGCCAAGATCTATTCCCAAGAAGCAAGACTGAGTTCATATCTTAGGTACGGTTTACATAGTGTTTAAAGCATACACGGTAGATAGTCATAATCCGACCTTTAATTTTTTCAAACACAATCCGCCAGGGTCTATCGTACAGTACATGATACATAACGTTGACAAACGCCCACGGGAGAGAAGCGAGCCTAAGCCATCCCAGCGGCCGTGGGGAACCAGATGGACGTGATCTATTTCGTCTCCTTCCAAGGATAAGACACCTCATCGTCCTTGCGGACCCAGATCTTCGACTTGCGCTTGTTAACCACATGCTCGACAAACGCCTCGCGGGTGTGCTGGGCCTTAAACTTGCGGATCCAGCGGGGATCCCAGAGCTCGCTGGCGATGCCCAGGTCCTTACAGCAGCGCACCAAGGCGTTGGACCGACAGCCCTCCGTAGCGGTGGGGATGCCATCTGGCGAGAAGTAATCTTGTTCTCCGCGAGCGACAGACACAAGCCTAGAATCCAGCAACCAAAACGTCAGCAACAGCACCAACCAACCTCCACCCCCTCCAAAAAAAAAAAAAAAAAAAACTCCCTGAGATCCGTATGAAACTCACCGTCCATGACAAACAAGCGCATACTCCCTCGTCACCATCTTCGGCGTCACGATACTCTCACTCCGTGGCACCAGCCCCCACCCGCCCGGTCCAAACGCCCTGTTCAGAATCCGTCGGTACTTGATCTCCGGGAGATACAGGATCCCGTCCGGCTTGATCTCGACTTCCTCGGGGTCGGTCGGCGCGAGCAGGATGTCGGCCGCTTCTTTCGGGAAGGGCTCCGCGGAGAGGCCGTGGAATGACCGCGTCCAGTCGATTCGGTCCTCGTTGGTTTGATATTGGCTCTGGGTCTCTGGTGTCGGGAGTGGGGAGAGGGGTTGGTCGTGGAGTCCGGTGGTGGTGAGATTGGGGGTAATTTTCTGGGGGGTGTTGTTGTTGTTGTTGTTGTTGTTGTTGTTATTGGGACCGGTGGTGTTGATGGAGGTGGGTTTAGGGGAGAGAGAGGGGTTGTTATTTTGGTTTTGATCTTGGTTTTGGTTGTTGTTGTTTTGGGTGGAGTTGGGTCGACGTGATGCTGCTGCTTGTGCTTGGTTGTTTTGGGTGGTGGTAATGCTGCGCGTGAAGGTGTGGGGGATCGGGGTGAAGCGTGGTACTGCTGCAGGATATGTAGTCGCTGTCGTGCGCAGCGCACGCGCGAGAGAAGGTAGAGACATGCTGGGTGATGGAGTGTGGGAATGGATGGAGATTTGGTGCAGGAGATGCGGAGAGGAAGAGCTGAAATGCTGCCGCTGGAGCTTGGTATGTGGTCACGTGATGATTATATGGCGTGCAAGAAGAAAAAGTGTTGTACATAGTAGAATTATGCAGATAGAGCTGGAGAGTTGGCATTCTTTGGTTATAGGCACAATCGTGATTTAAGGTACAGGGATGAAGAATGATAGTCGGGTTGTCTGATCTTCCCTCTAAGCATCCTGCGTCTGCGTGCGCTGGTCGTTGCCCTGCTTCTTCCAGCATTCGCGGAACGCTTCCATCTGCAGTCGAGTTAGCAGTCACTTATGGTTGCGCTGTCGTCTTCTGCGATTATCTGTTTGTGAGGATGAGGAGGCAGCGATCATGATAATCGGCAGTGTCATACAATACACTCCGCGCATGCTCAAGACGATATGAGGGTATCACGGCCGCCGCGGCCCGACTCGTCAACGCACCTCTTGCTGGCAACTACGCCAGTCCTTCTTCTGATAAACGCAGTCATTCAGAGTCATCTGCTCATCTGTAGCATGCCTCAGCATGGACCTCCTCAAAAGGACCCCCAGTCAATGGCCGGAGTGACAATTTCAACTCACCCGCACAGCCGGTTCTGGAGATCCGCTTCTCCCTGTCGGATTCGCCGTCAGTCCGAGTCAACTCGCTTTCGCTTTCCCCTCTCAACTTCTCTCCCTCACTTACCACTCATCGGGCTCGTCATCGTCCTCCACCTCTCCAACCGGAGGATTTTGTCTTTTTTCCTTGTTCGTCATTGTTTGTTCGGAAGCTGCTCTTCGACCGGAGGGTTGCAGTTGCAAAGAGAAACTTCCGAGGCCCGAAAGGTGCAGGTTGAACCGTTCCTCCGCCATGGCGACAACCCCCAACCTGACCGGGAAAAAGGTCAACGTTCTGGTCTACTCCGGTAGGAATTCGACGATTCAATTTCTTTTCGCTTCATTCAGTGAACCTGACATCTTGTTTACTAGGAAATGGCACCACCGTCGAGTCTGTCCGTCACTGCCTCTATTCCCTCCGCCGCCTGCTGGCCCCTCACTACGCCGTCATCCCCGTCACCGCCGACATGCTCCTCCACGAGCCCTGGACCCTGACCTGCGCATGCCTAGTTTTCCCCGGTGGTGCCGACATGGGATACTGTCGTGCCCTCAACGGTGCTGGAAACCGTCGCATCGAACAATTCGTCAAGCGTGGCGGCGCCTACCTCGGGTTCTGTGCGGGGGGCTACTATGGCTGCCGCCGGTGCGAGTTCGAGGTCGGCGACAAGACCCTCCAGGTGATCGGTGAGCGCGAGCTTGCCTTTTTCCCGGGCACCTGCCGCGGTGGTGCGTTCCCCGGGTTTGTCTACCATAGCGAGGCCGGGGCCCGCGCCGCCGAGGTGAAGGTGGCCAAGGACGTTTTAAGCGCGGGCGTGGTTCCGGAGCAATTCCGGTGCTACTACAATGGTGGCGGTGTGTTTGTCGATGCGGCAAGATATGCGGACCAAGGCGTCGAGGTGCTGGCTTCGTACTCGGAGGAGGTCAATGTTGATCCCGGTGAGGGCGGTGCCGCGGCCGTGGTCTACTGTCGCGTGGGCGAAGGAGCGGCCATTCTCACCAGTCCCCATCCAGAGTGAGTAGCTATCTTGCGTCGTTGATCAGGCAGAGCTCTAGGACTAACACGTCCTTTCTACGTAGATTTGCGGCGGTCAACCTGGATAGGAAGAACGGCGGTGCGGAGTATGCTAAGGTCGTGGATGCCCTGGCGGCAGACGATACCGGTCGCACCGACTTCCTCAAAGCGTGTCTGGTCAAACTGGGCTTGCAAGTGACCCAGACGACGACCACTGTGCCTTCGCTTTCGTCGCTGCATTTGTCAGCGCTTGAGCCAGCGGATACGGCCAACCTCGTGGCCCAGTGGGATGAGTATATAACAAAGGATGGCGACACGGAAGTCCTTAAGGATGAGAATGATACATTCCGGATTGAGCGACCGGGCACCTGGAACCTCGGGGAGTTGGAGGCCTCGCTGCCTGACCAGTCGGAGACGCCGACGGCGACACCGACGGAAGGGATTGTGGATTACAACGCAATCGTCAAGCGGCTGGTGGTTCACGACGATGTTCCATCATCCAAGCTAACACCCTATTTCAACCACCATGCTTTCTATGCGCATCTACGCCAGTACCAGCAACAATCCCGGGAGGGTGCCTCTGAATTCGGCACGAATCTGGTCTACGGTGAAGTGGTCACCAGTACGAATACGATCCTGGAAAAGTAAGTTTTGAGATCAACTTCTTTATGACAGCTCACATGACTGACCGGTCAGAAACCCAAAGTTGCTGCGCACACTGCCCACCGGCTTCACCGCTACGGCCACCACACAGGTCGCTGGGCGGGGCCGGGGCTCCAACGTCTGGGTTTCACCCGCCGGCGCGTTGATATTCTCGACCGTCTTGCGACACCCCATGGAGAAGATCCAATCAGCGCCGGTGGTGTTCATCCAGTACTTGGCCGCGATGGCGGTGGTGCAGGGTATCAAGCGGTACGACGACGGCTACGACGCCTTGCCGGTCAAGATGAAGTGGCCGAACGACGTGTGTATGTACCTACCTATCGCTTTGAAGCGATGGACATTGCTGATAATCTGCAGACGCGCTGGACCCGGAGCACCCTGAGAAACAGCAATACTCAAAGATCTGCGGTATCCTGGTGAATTCGCACTACTGCGCCAACGAGTACATCTCCGTCGTAGGGATTGGTGTCAACGCGACCAACGCGTCTCCGACTACATCTTTGACGGCACTGGCGAAACGATTCCTGGGCCCCACAGCGGCCCCCATCACGCTGGAGAAGCTGCTGGCCCGGATTCTGACGACATTTGAGGAGCTGTACGGGCGCTTCTTGCGCACTGGCTTCGACCGAGAGTTTGAGGACCAGTACTATGCGGACTGGCTGCATATGCACCAGGTCGTCACGTTGGAGGAGGCGGGCGGTGCACGGGCTCGCATTCAGGGCATTACTCGGGACTATGGGCTCTTGCTGGCGCAAGAGCTGGGCTGGGATGACCGGCCAACGGGTCGCGTGTGGCAGTTACAGAGCGACAGTAACAGTTTCGATTTCTTCCGAGGGCTGGTGCGGCGGAAGGTGTAGCCTGGATGATGGTGGTAGTGGTGGTGGTGGTGGTGGTGGTGGTGATGATGTTGATGATGATGACACGGTTTCATAGAGCATGATGACTGTACAATCCATGCAGTAGACAGTAGATACGCACTCCTTGACCTTTAGAATTGTGGGTGATGTTCATTGTTCATAAGCTTCCTCGGCTTCACCGAGGGGCCAAGATCGCACCAGCCATCTGACCTCTCGATCTCCTGAATCTGCAATATCGATCGACACAGGGAGCCGTGGATTCCATCGCCCAAGCAGGCAACGTCTCCGTCACTCACTGCTCCAACTCATAATCTCCGAGGCCGGATTGGTCGGCTTCCCGACGGAGAACTAGTCCGGAAAAGAGAAAGTTCTTGGGTGCCTGAGGTTGTTGAATTCTGAGGCGAATTCTGAGTCAGCAGTCTCCAACTTCCTGTTCCTCGCCTTCCTTGTGGGCCAGCAATGATTCATGAACATCATTAATAACATCATCCTCAGGATCATCCTTGTCATCTGGGGTTGTCTACATCACTCACCCCTTGTTTTGCATCATAGAACCCCTACTGTGACTGCCGCTTAGTACCCGTCCTTGCTGCACACACGACGAACCCCGAGATCCTCCACTCATGCACATTGGCACATGCGACACAACAGACTGGATGGAGTCTGTGGAGCACCGCAAGCAGCCTCCAACGGAGCCACCCCGTTCCTTGGCCCGCTCACTGCACCATCGCTGACACGTCTGCATTCTGCACTTCATCTTTTGGAAGTTCGTCACTGGTCAGGCGTGGACCCCCATAGCAGAGACGTGAGAGATGAGCGACTACTGCTTCCAGCCTCTGCTCCGGCCGTCTGTTTTAGCTCTGCGCCCACCCGCCGATCCGTCGACGCCACATGAGCCTAGGACTTCGCCGTCGGCTTGTCCACTCCCCCATTCGCACGCATTATATCATGCTAGACCTGCCTTGTACGCCCTCTCGTTGCACAGTCTGTTCCTCGGGCCTGCCACCTTCTCCACCCTATCTGCACGACTAATCATCTAATTCTTGTAATTGTGCTTGTATGTCCCTTATTCTGGACCGATACGTCGCCTAAGCCTCGGCTCATTCTTTCTTTCTGGCATCCGCCCCGCGTGCCAACCCCCATCGCGGTCACTATCTTTTTCTGGACCCTCCGCCGATTGGGGTTTTGATATATAGCAGCGGCTGCTTTCTTCCTGGTCGCTTTCCTTCCCCCCCCGGCCAGATTTTGAACGTGTTCATCCGCTTGTAGCAATCTTATCGGTGATTGACTGACCACCGTCGCCCATCATGCTTGCCGTCTTCACGATGGCGGCTGTCGCCGCCATTCTGTATGTGCTCTGGACACTCCTGCTTCGCTGGCAACACGCTCAGAACGCTCGTCGCTGGAACTGCGGTTCGATTCCACACTACCCTGGCAATTGGCTGGGAACCAATACCCTCAAGGAGGCCCTTCGTTACGACAAGGAACGCTGTCTGCCCCTTTTGTCGCGTCACCGTATCGAGAAAATGTCTGCACTCCGCAACCGCTACACCACCACTTTCCAGTTCCGCCAGCTGGGCCAGGATGTGATCCTGACATGTGAACCCAAGAATGTGCAGGCCGTCCTTGCGCACCAGTTCAAGGATTTCGAGCTTGGCGATCCCCGACGTAATGCTCTCCACTCGCTCCTGGGTAATGGAATTGTATGTCCTTCTTTTGTCATCTGATGGTCTTTGTCGAGGCTAACATAGGCCCACTGTCTAGTTCACCGCCGATGGCGAATACTGGACCCGCTCCCGCGGTCTTCTCCGGCCCCAGTTCACCCGCGATCAGATCAGTGATCTGGAGCTGGAGGAGCGACACGTACAGCAGGCTATGCGCGCCATGCCCGTAGACGCGACGGGCTGGACCATGCCTACCGACATCCAGACCATCTTCTTCCGCTTGACTATCGACTCGGCCACAGAGTTCCTCTTCGGAGAGAGCGTTGAAAGCCAGGCTGCTGCCCTCCGCAGCGGCAGCACGAACGCGGATGACTTCGCTGCTCAGTTCGACCGCGGCCAATGGTATGCCGCACAGCGCGCCCGCTTTGAGAAAATCTACTGGATTGTCAACAACAAGGAAAGCCGCGAGATTGACCGCAACGTCCACGCCTACGTCGATCGCTTCGTGGAGGCCGCTTTGAGCATGGATGCCGAGAAGAAGCCCTCCCACTACGTCTTCCTGCACGCTATCGCCGAGGTGACTCGGGATCCCGTTGAACTGCGTTCCCAGCTGCTCAATATTCTGTTGGCTGGACGCGACACCACCGCTTCCCTGCTCAGTTGGTGTGTTCTGCTTCTTGCTCGCCACCCCGAGTACTACACCAAACTCCGCGCGGCCATCCTCGAAGAGTTTGGCTCCTATGCCTCGCCCAAGCAAATCACCTTCGCCGGCCTTAAGTCCTGCAAGCCTCTCCAAAATTTCCTGAGTGAAACCCTCCGCCTCTACTCGATCGTCCCCGGTAACCGCCGCATCGCCGTTAAGAACACCACCCTCCCCACCGGCGGTGGCCCCGACGGCACGGAGCCCGTGTACGTCAGGAAGGGCCAGGCCGTGTTCTACAGCACCTTTGTGATGCACCGCCGGCAAGATCTCTGGGGCCCCGACGCGGACGAGTTCCGGCCGGAGCGCTGGGAGTCGCGCAAGCCCGGCTGGGAGTACCTCCCGTTCAACGGTGGCCCGCGCATTTGCATCGGTCAGCAGTTCGCTCTGACGGAAGCTGGGTATGTGATGGTGCGCTTGTTGCAGCGGTTCGACCAGATCGAGGGGGTCGGCAAGACGGCTGAGGGCGAGATCGCCATGGGGGTGAACCTGACTCTGGCTCCGGGCGACAATGTGACGGTGCGGTTGCACGAGGGTAATTAGGGGTTGTTTTTTGTACTTCTCTGTGATTTAGCGATTTTATTTTTTTTTTCTTGCTTTTGAACAAAATCAAATGGATAGACTTTTTTTTTGGGATGGTTCCTGTATGATTGTGTATATTTGTGGAGACTGCGGTGTAACTCTAATCGTGGGTCCCGTCGGGTTCACATGGCTATGTAGTATGTAGTGCTGATCTCGGGTAGAGGCAGTGGAAGCTTTGCATAGATGACGAATAAAGACAGGGCAGCTAATGTCGTACGTTATACTAGCACCCGAGCTTTGGCGAATGTACATGAACGTGTGTACAAGGACCCGAAACCTAGAGGATCTGCATGTTGCCGGTAGGCGTCCACTGAGGAAAGCTGCAGACAGTATTGCGTTTGTCCATGCTTGTTGTCATGGAATAAACAGGTGACATCTGTGGGATACTTTTTTTATGAATTCAACGGATGATTAACCATAACGATGTGTTAATTATGACTTGAGTAGTTACTATAAAATAAGTCGTGATAACTCCCCATAAGTCACGTGACAAAAATCCCCCGAGTCTTACTTCACCGCTAACCATAATTCCCCCGCTCCCCCACCTTTAGCAAAAAAAATATTGCCGGCAGAACCACGACATCCAACGGCCCAATGCCGCCATCGCGGGATTTTCCGTCGGCCACCATCGGTTTTAAAGACGTCGTCAGGCACTCATCCAGATACCTTACCATTTCTGCGCACTCAAAAAACAAAGAAGAGAAGCGCACCAGTCAAACAAGAAAAGAACAGAACAAATTCAGAAAGCTATAATTCCCACACATCCTCACACCCAAACTATTCCAGAGGAATCAAGAATAATGCCATTGATCAAAAACTTCCCCCTCCCCGCCTCCGCCAGTGAGCTTCCCCCCCCGGAACCAACCAGCACCGACCCATTTTTCTTGGTCTTCGTGACCTCCCCCGACCCAACGACGGGTCAGTCGTGGTGTCCGGACGTGCGCGCTGCGTGGCCGGTTCTTGAGAAGACTTTTGTCGATGCTGAGGCGCCGAGGTTGGGGGTTGTAGAGGTTGGGCAGAAGGATGAGTATGCACCCTCTCTTTCTGTTTGACTGTTTCGATTGTTGGGGGTAAATGGGGTGGGAGTATTCCTGCTTCTATTCCCACCTTATTTCTAAAATCTCGTTTCGCGATGATTGCGTTTACCGTGTGTATAGTTACGGCTATGAGCCACGAGCTAATCTGGGTATAGATGGAAAAACCCTACCAACATCTACCGCACGACCTGGAAGGTCCCGTGTATTCCCCTGTTGATCCGGTATGAGCTTGTGGATGGAGCGATGGTGGAGACGGGTCGGTTGGCCGAGGGGGAGATTCTGGATGAGGGGAAGTTGGGGGCGTTGGTGGGGAGGGTTTAGTTGTTTGCCTAGGTATTGGCACCGGGGGGGGGTTAATGAGTTATGAGATCCGGAGAGTTCAATTCTTTATGATGAATGTGATTACTTGTATTTTGAAGTGGAATACAGATTGATTAATGGGCTTTGGGTTGGTCGGGACATATTTATGGGGTGTAGATTAGCTGGACGGCTGTAAGGATTCAGTCTATTTCCAAGTGATGGCTGTCTTGTTGTACTGTAGAATTGGCGTGATGCAACAGCCCGGTTCTTGCTCAAGGCCACCTTCAAAGAATCGGGGCCTCCCCGGTTGTACGTGGCCGCTCCGTGTCTTTGTATATACATAGGCGCCTTTTTTTGGCGCTGGCTGGTTGACGTAGACGTATAGGAACGACACAGCGCTCAATCGAGAGCTGAAAGTAAGCGAGTCATCCTCTTCATGATCATCAAAAGGAAAATGCAAGCGGATCGTCATCTTCTGCATCTCAGTGCTCGAATGCTCCATCAAAACCATCCTGAATGCTCTGGATAACAGCCCTGCTTCGCTCAATCTCATCCTCACCTGGAACCCATTTAAGAGCGTCTGTCCCAATCGGATCTCTCATCTCGCCCAGTTGTCGTAGGTCCTCCTGTCTTGGCCATAGTTTCTCCGAATATTTTTGCATCTCTTCCTCAGAAAAGTGGACTGCACACTCCACCGACCCCGTCTGCGCCCCTTCATCCGGCGCCAGAGGTCAGCTCCCAAGAACCTGGGACATGGTATACCTCGAACGAGACAGAGTCTCCTTCCCAGGAAGCCTGTGCATGATGAAAAGCTTTGCTCGAAGCATACAATCCGATAAAGATTTTTTGGTCAATGCAGCATAATCAAAGTAAAAATCCGTCTCCGCATCGTCTGTTGCATCGTCGCTTGTTCTCTAGGATGGGTTGGTCAAAGCTTTCTGGCAACTTGATCTCAGGCTTAGATAATGTCTCGGACACTGGATCGTCCCAGTTTTGAAGACGATCGGGGATTCCAGCGCACAGACAGAGTGGCAGAGTAAATGCATGTTGCCAGTCAATGATCCCTACCACGTCATTGAAGGCATTGACTGGGATATTATTAGATGAGAAATTTGTATGACGAGGTGTCGGACGAGACATGCGATGGTCGGATGGGACGTCGAGGTACGGCGCTAACTTCAGATAGTTGGTGAGGAGATGTTGGTACGGAACAGGTGAGAGGGCTTGGAAATGGTGGACTTCTCGTAGGTCTCTCTCGACATGTAGGCGAAGTTTGCCGTATCGCTCGCAGTCTTTCTAGCACGCGCTTGGCGGGTGCTTCAAAACCATGCGGAAAGGGTACTCCCTGGTCTGAAGTTAACATCTGCAGAGAAAAGGCGCGTATAGCGACTCACATGGCTCGCGGTTAACCTTCAGAGAGGCCCGTTCCTGATACCATCGGCGATGATAAAGACTTCCGCTTGCTGGGAAGTTGATGCTCATGAACAGTCTCTCCAGATCAACAATATGTCTTATTATCCGGACCCGAGTAATCATATGGCGTCGCATGCAAGAGAAGGATTAATAAGCACCGTTACTGAATAGAGTCGGATGACCTGGTGATATAAGCAAAGGAAATCGAACTTTAAGAGGTTTGCGTACCTAAAACTTGCGATTCTAATCTTGAGCGCTTTGGCGGCCGCTTAATGTGCTTCTCAAAAAGGTGAACATCTGGTTTACTGTTCGACACCTGTGTATGTCTCCTCAATTTGAATTGATTGTGTTCTGGTTCCGAATGTAAGATAGTGTTATGGTCATACCCTATAAAGGTAGTTAGTATAATATCTGTTGAATAATTATTACTGTAATTATATTATATAGAATCCCTATTCAGTATGTTCGGCCTCTTCTTTAGAATAAACTTCTTAATTCTAATAGTCCAGAAAAAGTCTCTTTATAATATTAGTAGTTTTCAGTATTCAGCAGTACATTTCAGTCGATAATATTGGTAACCTTGAAGAGTAATCATAATATAAATATTAAAGTCCACTAGTTCTCAAGATTACTGTATATAGTACCTGAAGCTATTTCAGGTAGCCTGGAGATGGAGAACGATAAAGAATATAGTATAAACAATTCCGGGCTGATAGTACAAACCTTTCTTGCCAGGTAGCGTGCATAACGTCTGATGCTCCGACGTAAAGAAGAATTTTTTTAATGACTTGTCGGTTTCCCTCAACTCGCCAATCCAGGAGTTTACTCTATTAGCTTTGAGATCGGAAAGAGGCTCCTGGATTTTCTGTAACTGTTTTTCAAGGTGGGATTTGGTTTGGCTGCCAATAAGACTATTGCTAGAATCCATTGTTTCGAAGTTCTCGGGACAGGACAGAAGGGGGCTGGGACAAAGCCTAGGGGCGATATAGCTAGGTATTTATGCACCTGCGAGAGTCTTACAAACTGCTTGACGTTGACTAATTAACTAATTACTGCGTGATGCTCGTGCAATAGTGATACCTAATACATGCGTCCAAGCGGCGGCCTGTTGCGCCATACACAGTAGGCGTCCGAGCTGGGCAAGTCATATGTCTTCAAATGTACTCCCTACTGTACATGAATCCCGAGCATTGTCCGCGTTGAGGAAGACGTGGTGCAGCCACCCTTGGCGCCGAGGAAGGTTAAGAAGATGCCATGATCTACGGCATTATTGCATCGGCTGCAATCAAGGTACTCGAGAGATGTCTTTGGGATTGACTATCTGTAGATCTTCGTGCATTGCCATTCACATTCACCATTGCATGAGTCAAAGATTCGGAGAATTATCGGAGACGCTTGAGGAAGGGTCGGCTGGCGGCGGCAGGACACAAGAGGGAATTTTCAAGGATTATGAAACCAGACTACTGCATGAGAAGAAGGTCCACGCACAGAGACTCATCACGGTGGATTCTTGCTGCAGCAAGCCGGGAACCCTTACATGGTTGCCATGTGGTGGATGGAGACGAAGATGAACAATGGGTGGTGAGCGTCGTTTTTAATCAAATTTAATAAGCTTAATTGGGGGGTGACATTGACAGGGGTTGATCCATGTTTTGCTCCCGTCCGTTTTTTCTCCCCGTCATTTCCAAGTTTCCATCTTGGCTCGCTCGTCAGGAGACTCGTTTCGCTTCCAGTTTAGTTCAATCCTCTCTTGCGCTAGTCACCTTTTCAGGCAAGAGACTGGGAGTCTTGGGTGGGTGTTCAGGACAATTACCGTGGCTAGTGACTCTGAAGGATGACTACCTAACTTGAAACGGCTCATGAGGGAATCCAAACGACCGTCAGAATGTTATTCGTGGTTCCGACCAATCAGCGCGGGGCATGACTCTGCCGTCCTCGCATTCACCGCGATGCTTTTCTCGCACTACACACACAAAGGATTTGTGTGCCTCCACCAAACTCGAACTGTCCTAGGAGAAGAGAAAAAAAGTCCAAACAAGAGTCCCAGTATACATGACTGGACAGTGGCACGAGCACAAAATTCTGAAGACATGCCACGATGCGAGAGACAGAATCGGCAATGGTCGAATCAGGAACCCGTTGCCCTGGTCCACGGTGGAGTCAATCGCCCCAAATGAGGGGGCAACTCCGTGGACTCGACTGTCACCACTTCTCCTTTTTACTCGCACACTCCCTGGACTGCACAGATCTACCCCTCGGCCGTAGACATGGTCGCCTAGGTCTGGTGTCGCATCGTGCGTGGCATGTTGAGGCCGGTAGAAGTGGATTCACAGGGGTGATGCAGTTCTAGTCGTGTGTTGGAGGGAGACAAAGAAGAGATCCTCATAATATAAATCTAAAGTAGTTCACTTCATACTGCGGAGACTTGATTTAATTAAAGATTTCCTTCGCATTCAGTTTCCATTCCAAGCATAAGTTCCTCCAGGCTGCCAGGTTCTCTTCCTTTTCCTTCTTATCGAGACTTGCGCACATTGCATCATTCCATCAATCACCACATTTGATGATATGGCAGCTCAACAAACCATCACAGTTCCCCACTTGGGTGGCATTGAAGTCGGCTATGCCCTCTCCAACCACAACACCTATGACCCCTCCAAGCCGACCTGCGTGCTCATCAACTCGATGTGCATGACCGTGTCGCTCTACCGCCCGCAGTTCGAGGATGTCGAGTTGACCAACACGACCAACCTGCTGGCCATCGAGCCCCTTGGCCATGGCGCCACCCGCTGTCTGGCGCCCGCCGCCGAGCACTTTACCTACTGGGACTCGGCCATCATGGCCCTTCAGGTGATGGAGAAGTTGGGGATCCCACAGGCATTCGCTCTGGGTACCAGCCAGGGGGGATGGGTTGTAGCACGCATGGCTCTGTTGGCACCAGACAGGGTCCGTTCTTCCAGACTGACTCTTTTCGTGTCGATGGACCTGACTGACGTGCTGATCCTTTTTACTATTGATAGATTCTTGGCATTTTGCCTCTGGGTACTTCGATGGATTACGAGTCGGCCGACTCTCGCACCAAGGACTGCTGGGACCCTGTCACCTTGCTGACCCCGTTCCTGGAGAAATGGTCGAGCGAGACTCCCACCCCGGATTTTGTGGTCGACGACGTCTGGTGCGGGATGGTTGCCGGGATCGGCTTCGGGGCGTCGGGAACCCCCGAGACGACCGATTTCTGGGTGCAGACGCTCAAGCAGGTCTACACTGGGGAGGAAGGTCGCAAGAAGGTCCGCATGGCATTGATGTGCCTGTTGACCCGGGATGGATTGCTTCTGCGGTTGAAAGATGTGCGGTGCCCGGTGTATTGGCTACAGGTGAGCACTCTCCTTGTTCATCCATTCCCCCATTCATGGTAGAAGCGTCTGTCTTCTCGAAAGCCAAAATCGCTAATGCATCGAATAATTTCCTTTTCAGGGGACGGAGGATTTCCCTTTCAAGACCACGGTCCCTGCAGAGCAGATTCAAAGGTTCTCCGCTAGTAAGGAGGCGAGATTGCAGATGGTGGAGGGGGGCGCGCATTATCTGAACGCCACGCATCCGCGGGAGGTTAATGCGGCGATCCGTGAGATGGTCACTCGCTATGGTGCCTGAGTGGCTGGCGGCGGGGGAAGCGAAGATACCTACACAATCTTAGGCTACTGCAGAAGTGCAGATAGTTTTTCTTTTTCTTTTTTAGAAAAAAAAGTACTTAGGTTCTCAGTAGTACGGGGTTAGTCCCAGAAGAAAGTTGAACAGCTCAGGCACGAGCTGCATGCCAAACCCCAAAACTGCTAAAGAATTGACCCATCGGATGGGGCGACCTCGAGTTTGGGTCTCCTAGTGGCTTCGAGCCTCCGACTACTTGAAGCCGGCGCAAATTGGCCGAAGGTTGAATCAAGTTCTCAAGCCTTGGCTGCGTCCAGCCCTAATTGGGAGTGACAGTGGATCTGACTGGCAATTTTTGACACTGACAGGTGGCGACGGCTCGTGTAAACTCCAAGGGCTCCATCAAACTTTAAGAGTTCGTGTTCTCGTTCGTTTCCACTGAAGATTCCCACCAGTTCGGTTCGAGACGATACTAATTTGTCGTTGGCCACGCGGCGAAGACCCCTCCTCCCCTTGGGAAAAAATAACCATCCCCAAATGTAGCGTTCATCGGCCGCTTCGGCAGTGGGTCTTCCACCACAGATTTTGTCCATGCACGGCTCCCATATTAATAGTGATCGCCTGCCCACCCCAGAAGTACCTGGAATCTCGCACCTGGCGTTCCCTGGCCAGCCATTCTTCCCCGGTAGTGGTCATGGCGAGCGATGAACAGCAGTGGGCTACGGCCACCACCACTTCTGTCACGGTGCTTGCCTTTCTGTGTGTTGTGCTGCGCATTGTCTCTCGTTTGGAACGCAAGCAGAAACTTTGGTGGGATGATTATATGATTATCTTTTCGATGGTATCTACTATGCCCAGTCACCCGAGCCTTGAGAGCCAGACTAACACACAAATTCCACCATCATGTAGGGGTGGAACTTCGTCGTGGTCGGATTCATCTATGCCATGATTCATGAAGGCATGGGCGTTCACGCTGACCAATTATCTACTGAACAAGTCATCCTCATCGCCAAATTCCTGGTTGTGGCCGAGATCCTCTACGTCTTCAACCTGGTCTGGACCAAGCTCAGCATCCTGCTGATGTACTACCGCATCTTCCACTTTCCCTACTTCAAGCGCTGGGCCTATATCATCGGCACTTTTATCATTTGCTGGGTCATCTGCATCACCTTTCTCTTCATTTTCATTTGTGTTCCTGTCCAGAAACTCTGGTATCCTAGTCTACCCGGCCACTGCATCTCCCAGGTCGGCACCTGGATCGCCAACGCCACTTCAACCATCACGACCGATCTGGTGATCCTTCTCCTGCCTTTACCACAAGTCTGGAAGCTGCAGCTCCGCCTGTCGGAGAAGTTAGCGTTGACCATCGCCTTTGGTCTCGGGTTCTTGTAAGTCTTACCTCTTACCCCCAGCACAAGCATCCACTCCAAACCAATCAGCTAACCAACAAACCACAGCGTGGTCTTTGCCTCCGCGTACCGCTTCACGGTCCTCTTCTCCTACACCACCGCCGACAGCTCCTACACCCTGGCCCCGACCGTCGGCTGGACAGCCATCGAGATGTCAGCTGGGATCGTGTCCGCCTGCCTCCCAACCATCCGCCCCGCCCTGCAACTCGGCGCCCGCCTGCTGGGCATCCAAGCCGTCATGCCCGCCATCTTCCGCAGCACCGGCCACTCCGCCAACCACCTCTCCGTCAAGTCCGAGGCCACCCAACTCGGCAGCCGCCACGTGGCCGCGGGCGACATCCCGCTATCTACCAGCGGGGCCGGGGGCACGACCTCTTCCACCGGCCCCGTTGTCCGCCACTCGTTCTACCATCTGCCTGACGAAGCTGAGCTGTCCGAGATTGACAGCCTGCCGCGGAAGATGGAGGCGTCGCTGCGCCCGAAGCATGATCGCGGCCAGACCGTCACCAAGATCCGCGGAAGGACGAGCGTGGCGTCCGGGGAGGATGATTTGCTGCCCTTGCATGGCATTCGCGTGCAGAAGGATTTTCGGCAGGAAGGGTAGTGCTTTACCTTTTGTTTGGCTGTTTGGCTGTTTGGCTGGCTGTTTTATAGCGTGAGGCGTATCTGGGGGGTTTCCTCTTCATTTCCTTTTGTCTTGGTCTTTGTGGTGGTTGGGTGGTTGTATATATGTAGTGTATAATCTTGTATGATATGAGGCAGTCTTCGCATTAAGGTGCTTTGATTGAGTAGTAGTAGCAGAAAGTCTCTATCTGTCTCAATCTCTCTTTTGCCTGATGCCTTACATTTGAAGTGGCTTCGCGGTCAACAAGTAAAGTCCGTCGTTTAGTGTCTTGACACATTATAATAAGTGCATGTCAGCATCCTCCCTTTTTGAGAAAGCAGAGCTTCTACGGATGTATATGCTACTGAACTGCAGAGCTGGCTTTGTTTGACTGGAAAATAAGATTCTGAAAGAACAATATTAATTCCCCACTGTTTGTCTTTTAGCATGTCTTTCAGCCACCAATGGGATGGCCATTTTTCCAAACAAAGAGCGGCAACTACTTGACCTCGGTCTGGGGGGTTTGCCTTCACCGTCTTGTCAAAGAATCCGTTGTCCAACCAGCATACAATCCTATTGTTCATCATCCAATGAATTCGACACAACTATAAAACCCTCGCAGCGTATGCATCAGCCCAAGCTCTAACGCAGTAAACAAACAGTCGAGCAACCTAGCTATCTATCTAAACTTCCCATCTGGAAATCAACTCCGAAAACACCCAAAGATGATTCTGGGTCTCGTTCAGTATAATCTATACTTGAGGGACCAAGACTCCCATGATATCGCCCCCGTCAACCGCCCTCGGACTCAACCAAACATACCACAGAACCTCCCAGCCAGCAGCAGTAGCACTGCGAAGCAGCTCACCCCCCAAGCACAAGACCCAACAATCTCACGCCTCCAGTTCAGCCACGCAGGCCCCTGGACCCCTGCGGCACTACCAAGCTGCATCTGCTCCGGCCCACTTGCAGGATTTGAGTCTGAAGCTTACCCAGGACTCTGAATCAAAGTAGTAGTCTTTTTCATCCTCCCACATCCACTACCAGTAAAGAAAAAAAGGAAAAAAAAAAAAAAAAAAACTAAAATGCCATACCCACCGCAAACCCTCCATATACACACCCCAACCTGCATGGTCCGCTGCAACCCCCACGCGCACACCGTGCAGGGATTCTGCGGGCTGTGCCAGGAATCGCCGGCCCCCGGGAGTCCGCTGAAATGGCACTGCACGGGTTGTGGGGTGGATTTCCACACGGATTGCTTTCGGTGGTGGGGAAGTCAGGCGCTGCGGGAGAGTCTGGTGGTGGATTGTCCGGTTTGTGGGTGTCATTGGGAGATGGTTGTTGCGGGGGCGGAGACGAGGGTGGAGAGGTTCTTGCGGTAATGGATTGGGGTTGGGGGATAGATGTATGTTATGTACTTGTTGTGTCTTGGGTTAAATACTCTTCAAGTGTTGTGTGCTTAGGGCTGAGGGATAGATATTCTGACTACTAGGTTTGGTATTGAATAGATGCTCCTTTTTTTTTAAAGTTGATATTCTCGTCATTTGATAAACTCGGTAGATTAGTGGCTTATCTATAGGGGTTTCTATGTTGATCGGGTGTCGTGTTGTTGCTCGACGATGGATTGGGAGATGTTGATGAGCTGAGGGGGAGAGTGTGTACTGTAAACTGCAGTAGCCAGGTAAGAGCAGTTACAAATGCATAGAGTCCAATGCATGTTGACACCAGTGGACCTGAACAGTTTGCCGAACCAAGCTGCAAATCCCGCGATTTCTGTCTGCCTGGTGGGTCGGGCCGGGAAGGTGGAGTCGCTGTTCTTCTGCCTTACAACCTAACCTCCCTTACATTACCATAGATGAAAGATGAACAGCCTCGTGCATTTGTGGATGCATCTCCTTCCAGCACTAACGGCACAAGCATACTCTTTTGGCTCGTGCTGATCCTTGGAGCGGTGGCCTGCGGTAAGATATGCACCTTGGTCTCTGTGCAGAAGACTGCGCTGCATGCATGGCTTGTAAATACCGACTAGAAGCCAATTGAACCAGATTGTTATTGATGGTGTTAAGCCAAATAAGCTGCTCAATACCCGGGCCTGAGCCCTCGAGTATCACGGCATCTTGAGAAGCTCGCACTCGAATCTCCTGGAGGATACTGCGGCCATCGGGTCGCGCTAGAGAGTGAAGAAGATTGATTCGGTCCAGCACGCGAGGCTAGACAAGACCTCCGTGTCGCGCCCGATGTCACGCAGCTGGCTTGCGCCCCCGTGCATGTCGTCCGGTATGTCTGGGAGTAAAGTGGCTGTGGAGCATGATTTCCTGGCTGCTGTTGTATGCACTCTTGCAGTGTGTTCAAACGGTTCGTTTGGCCGGGTGTGAAGGCTGTAAGCTCTGTGCCTGCTCAGTCTGAATCTAGGCAGCTTTGGCATTGCTTGTCACGAGATGTTGGTCGGACTTGCTGTGGAAGACCTGGTTGATGTCTGCTTGGAGCCGCTTGTAGTCTGATATGGTCGGACACTCGGCGCCGTGCTGGCAGTGATTGAGCCCATGAGTCTTGATAGTGTAGGAGCTGGGAGGCCCGCTGGATGTGGGCTCGGAGATCTTAGAGTTCGAGCTGAGCGGCGCTTGCTGGCTTAGACTCACCGACTGCATGTTTGTTGTTGTTGTTGTTTATGTCGAGCAGCGCTGTGAAACTGGTTAGTCGACATATAGGCGGTTGGTTGAGGCACTGCGAGTGGTGCCAGATTGAGTGATGGTCGAGTCGGCATCCATGAATGAAACTGGCGTTGTATCGATGCCCATTGGAGGTAACAATCTTGCTACAAAATGAGACGGTGATCTACTATTGTCAGCTTGTGCATATTATAGGTGATCAAGTAGGCAGTTCTCACTGTGTGCGAAGTTCCGAGACGATGAGAATGAGAGAAATCCAGTGTGTTGCGATAGAAGCAGTCATCGCTGCGATGACCTTGAGGACTTGACTCATCAACTTGCGACCGACCTGAGCAGTTCGGCAGTGAATTCCTAATCAGAGGCAGTGAGAGTTCTTCGCACCCAGCTAATCACCGGACCTTTGTGTGAAGGAAACACAAGAGCATGTATACAATTTAATTTATGCCTTAAGGCACTAACTAACATTAGCTAAGTGGCTATGAACTTACATAATCTATGCACACAACAGGGCCTGAGACTCTCCGCCTCGGCCAGTCCACCGCCTACCATCAAGTTGTCAACATCATCATATCATCCACATCAAACTCCCCTCCACACTTTCTCTCTTTCAGTGCAATCACAATGGCCGATTTGACCCCCACCCTGCGCAACCTTCTGCAGAGCAAGCCAAACGCCCCGCGCCTGTCAAAAGGGTACTTTTCTACTGAAACGGCAGATGAATTCCTCAAAGAAGCCTACCGGATTGTATGTCTCATCCCATGCCCTATCTTCCCCATCCCTCTCTTCACGCCTGCCTCTCCATCCCTCTTAATGCCTACACTCTTCACTCCCCCCTCTTCAATGCTCACCTTGAACCACCAAACCAAAATCCAACTAAACTCCATAAACAGAACACTCACATAACAACCCTCCTCGCCTACCTCCACCGCATCCGCCCCGCCTACCTCTCCATCAACAACCATCACCAAACCCATAACAAACCCCCCTCCCCCTCCCCACTCCCACACCCCCAGCCGCCCAACATCTCCTCCCCCTCCATCCCCTCTCCGAAAGAATTAAAAGAAACCGACCAAACAGCAATCGACACCTCCACCTCCGCCCTCCTCCACCAGCTCAGCACCGCCATCTCCACGCTCTCTTCCGCGGAAACCCTCCGCCAAGACACGCAAGCCCAGCTGCTGCACAAGAAGTATCACCGCGGGGGGTATTGGACTCGGTGGGCGGCCGGCGACGATCCCACCGAAAACAATGCCGGGAAGAGTGATGAGCAGCGCGCGCAGGAAGCCGCGGAGGAGAACACGAAGCAGGTGCGCGGCGCGGTGATTTGGTTTCTACGGGAGCATCTGCAGACCGCGGTGGCGGTACAGAGGGGGATGGTGGAGAAGAGGGTGGAGCGGGTGAGGGAGAGGGAGAGGAGTGTTCTGTATCTCTCTCAACAGTCACATTTGGGATCTGGGGGACCCGGGGGTGGGGTTGCAGCTGGAGCTGGAAGCAAAGCTGGAGCCAGAGCTGGAGCAAGAGCGGAAGGGAAGAGATCCTGGGATAGCACGGGAACCGGGATGATGCTGGCCCCCAGGGAAACGCAGGGCCAGAAACTCCAACAGACGGAACTCGATGCCATCGAGGCGGAGCTGACGCCGGAGCAGCTCCAGTTGTTTGCCGAGGAGAATGACCACATGGTGAAATACTACGAGGATACATTGAGCAAAGTCCGGTATGTGTATCCTCACGCCTTCTCTCTCTCCCTCTCAGACAGAAAACGCTGACAGTCACGTCTGCATAGAAATGCGGAAAAATCATTGCTGGAAATCTCCTCCCTCCAACAAACCCTGGTCGCCCACCTGTCGACCCAGGAGGAATACATCAACCAACTCGTCACGGATGCGTCCAATACGCAGACCAACATTGGGCAGGGAAACAAGGAGCTCAAGCGCGCCAGCGAGCGGCGGAGTACTGCCCAGGCTGTCTTTTGGGGGACTGTTGGGCTGTGTACCTGGTTGGTGGTATGGGATTTGGTCTTCTAGAGCTGATCGGCGATGTACACTATGATATGACATATCATTCTAATTCTTTCGCATTCTGATAACCCCGAAACCCATGGTTTATGTTTGTATGTTCTAAATGCTACCGCAATCATGACGTCTCCCGCACAACGCTATCTACCGCTTCGGCAAAGTAATCCAGGTTATTCGTGTTCAGACCCGCCATCGAGATGCGGCCGTTCTTCGTCTGTCGTACGTCAGTAGGTAATTCCCCAGACACCTCACACACACAAAAAAAAAACTTACCATGTAAACATGCCACTTCTCGCGCAGAGTCTTCACCTGGCTCTCCGTCAACCCCGTGAAGCTGAACATGCCGATCTGATCCGTGATGTGCTGCCACGAGCCAGGCGTCCCCTTGGCCTCGAGCCGCTCCCGCAGTCCCTTGCGCATCTCCGCGATCCGCCCGCTCATCGTCCGCAGGTCCTCCTCCCACTCCGCAAACAGCGTCTCATCGTTCAGCACCCGGCTGGCGATGCGCGCGCCGTACGCAGGCGGGTTCGAGATCTCCGACCGCTGCAAAATGGCGAGCTGGGAGGCGATGTTGGAGTTGTTGGCCGCAGCCTCGGCGCCCGGCGCCGAGACGAAATGGAACGCACCCGTGCGCTGACCATACAACCCGAAATTCTTGGCGAACGACTGCGCGATGCACAACTCGAACCCTTGCTCGATGAAGTAGCGCACCGCCCAGGCGTCGCGGCGCAGGTCACCCGAGGCAAAGCCCTGGTAGGCGCAGTCGAAGAAGGGGAAATGGTGGCGCTCGCGCATCACGACGGCAACCTCCTTCCACTGGTCCTGGGTCAGGTCGACGCCCGTAGGGTTGTGCGCGCAGACGTGGAGGAGGATGACAGAGCCGGTGGGAGCGGATCGCAGCGCGTCCAGCATCCCACTGAAGTCGAGGCCCTTGGTCTTGGCGGAGAAGTAGGGGTAGCTGGCCAGTGAGAGGCCGACATTTGTGAAAATCTGGTGGTGGTTGGCCCAGGTGGGGTTGGAGAGGTAGATGGAAGGGCGCGCGGGGTGGAACTTGGCGAGGAAGAGCGCGCCCAGATGGACGGCGCCTGTACCGGAGATGGTTTGGAATGTGCAGACCTGGGTCGTGGTGTTAGTCTCGAATGAGCGCACAGGCAAAATGGTGGACGGACTCTGTTCTCGCCAATGGCGGGGCTGTCGGCGCCGATCATGAGCTTCTGCGCGGCGCTGGTGTAGTCGGCCAATCCCTTGATGGGGAGGTATTCATGGTTGAGATTGGGGTCGTTGCGGACGAGCTCGTCGGCCTAGACGAGTTAGCAGTAATCACACTAGAGGCGGAAAAAAACCTACCTTCTTGACAACGGGCAGAATCCAGGGTTTGGCGTTGTTATCGCGATAGGCGCCGATAACGAGATCGACCTTCTTGTCGGAGGGATCTTGGCGAAAGGCCTGAGCGAGACCGAAGAGGGGGTCCTCAGGGGCGGCGGGCACGTTGGCCGTGGAGAAAACGGTAGGGCTGTAGGAGCCCATGATGTGTGAGGATAGGGAGGCGAGGCGAGAGGAAGCAGTGGAGAGGATAGAGGAGGCTGAGGGTGGTTGAGGAATGGAAATAGAGGTTGATGAAGATGTGGAGAAAGGGGTGGGAGAGGAAGAGGAAGAAGAGGGAGCCATGAGAGCTTTGAAGTATGGCAAACGGAATGAGTGAAGGTCACACCACCTTAAGTTCCTGCCTGGTTGCTGCTTGCGTTCACCGGCAATCAATTCATCGATTGACCGAAACAGATAAATCCCGATGTGGATGGTTGGCCATGCAATCCAATTCAGAGGCAGAAGACTCAGTCGGAGTAACCTGGACACAGAGCAGGTTCGGTCTATCGCCGATATTTAACTTGAGATTGACGGAGGGGATTGTGATGGGCTGCTGTTATGTTAAGCCGAGGATGGATGACGACATGCACATGTGTTTACTGCCACGGCATAACATACGGAGGTAGAGTTACAATAAACATAACTCGAACTGCCCCTATGCCAAATTCAATTCTTTCTTCAATTCGATGCTCCTGAGCATCGTTCTGACTCTGCTGTGCTGATCTCATTCGGAGCGATTCGACTCAGATGAAATCCCTAGTAATAGGAATACTCCGCGTACTTCCATCCATCAGATGAATGATAGATAGTATACCCCGTACTGCAGCTGGACCTACAACCTCCGTTTTCATCCACCCACAACATTCCCACTGCCCACCCGCATCAATTGCAGTCGTCAGCCACCGAACAGTACTTTCTTAATCTCTCTGCTTCAATGAGTATTCTTCCCTTTCAATTTCTCAATCCTTTTGCCGGGGGCCCCGGGGCAAAGAGAACAGCCACCGCACTTGGACAGTCTGGCCGACTCCAACCGAGAGCTGGAGAAACCCCCGCCAATCACCGCGGGCTGGAATCACCGATGTGTCATCTGTTTTTAACGTTTACCCCACTGAGGGTGTCCCCGCCCTGCGGGATTTTTGTTGTTGTTGCCAGTGAGTGAGTCTTTCTATCGCGTCCCGGAATTCGATCGCCGATTGAAACCCCTCACTCCGTTGGGGTAACGATGGTGCCAGGTACTACTATGGAGTAGACATGCAAATATATATTTACTGCACAAGTTATTACTAGTTCCCCCACTCGAAACCTGAAGTAAATCACCGCTCGAACTAAACAGATCCTCCATACTCAGGACTAAGCACTGGCTTCAGCAACACCTCCCACTTCCTACTACATTCATATCTCAACATTTCACTGGCAATAGCATCCCAGCCCAAACTAGTACCACGACACCCAAATCTAAACAAAAATCTCCCCTACCAGCCACATCTACCTCAAATCCCGCTAAAAAAAAAAACACACAACCACATCTTGAACACTTAACCCACTTCTACTCCGTAAACGCTTCAAAAGATACTCGAACCCACATATTGAAAACATCCTTTCAATCCCTTGTGTATTAGCAGCATCCGAAGGAATCAACTTTCCATCAACCATCAAACAGGAAGAATTCTCCGCTGAAGCTGAGGAAAATATTCACCTTTCAGAACTTAGCAAACACTTCTACCCCGTGGGGTCGGATCAGCTCGATTCTCCTAGCCTTGCCGGATCCCGGAATCCGAATCGGAAATCTTTCTTGTGCTGTACGTAAAGTAACGCCCTCTTCCCCCACATCCCACCGCATCCCTTGGGCAGGGCCCGGGCGGGCCCCCTCACGCTCTATCTCTCTGGGGTCTCTGGGTCCAAATTCTCCAATTCCATTCTCTGGGAGTAAGAAACTTTAGTGCAGTGAATTGTGGCTGAACCCTAGGCTGCAGCATGAGGAAGAAGTTAGGCGGGGGGGCTTGGAAGGTTCAAGTGAAGGTTAGACGATCGGGCCGGGATCTCTGATGCACTCCGTGGTATGGGGGAAAAAGAAACGGACGGTCGGAAATCTTCGAGGTGTGTGCCACGGTGTGCGGGGGGCAGCCGTGGGGTTAGTCAGGTTCAGGGGCAGGCCTTTCTCCAATTGATCTGTATGTAGAAATGTGTTGATGTCTTCGCGGGAGGTTTACCTCATTACTTACCTACCTAGGTGGACCGTGGCTCAGTTGAAATCTTTTCATAGTGCCTGAAGGAAAGTCATTTCCAGTTAGGGGAAGTCTTTATGAGTGAGGGGAGGGGTGGATTCAGATTTTTGCTTCGATTGCTCTGAAGGTACCTTACCCAGTGCAATACCCCTCATGTTGAGTGAATATGAGTTCGCTCGCTGGGTCGAGTTGCCGTTTGGTGAATCTGATAAAACTACATGACGAACAGGTAGCCCTTGCGGGGTACCTACTATGCACTGAACAGGGCACTGCACTTGTACGCACCACCTGGTGGACTGATACAGGCTATTAGTGTCTGCAACTACAAGTACAGAACAGAATCCACATACACTACTTCACAAATGGGAATGTACCATTGCATCAGATCATCTTCATAGAGTAGTCCTATGTACAAAATAATCCTAACACCCAAACAAACCCCCTTCTCAAACGCCGTTTATTGCCCAAACCATGTATCAAACTAGCCAAACACGGTCAACGCAGAGGAGAACCAGATTCCGCAGAACATGAAGCAAGAAGAAAGAAAGCCGCTAGCAGCCAGGCTGCGCTATGTAACAGCATCCCATGATCGTCATCATCTTTGGCGTTTGTCAAAATTGTCGTCGTCATCGTCATCGTGGCCCATGGACTATGTACCCGTGTTTGATCTCACAGACCAAAAAGAGAAAAAAGAAAAAATGCATCGTTTGCGCGCAGTGCTCAGAATACAGACAATATCACATGTACAGACCGAGAACAAAAGATAAACCACGTATGTATATCGTTAGGTGGCAGCAGCAGCAGCAGCAGCGGGCGAGGACTCAACCGATTCCTCTGGGGTCGGCTCCATTCCGTGCGCCCTGGTGCGGACGCGGAACCGATCGCGCAGTCGTTTCGTCAGGCCATTTCGTCGGCGGCGGTGCTCATCATTCTCCTCGGCTGGGCCGGAGGAGGAGTCCTGGCGCGTTGTCTCTTCCCGGACACTGCGCAGAGCAGCCAGACGCTCCTCGACACTGGCATCGCGCATGCGGCGGGCGTTCAACGTGTGGTGAAGGTAACTGCTCAGACGTCGGTGGCGGTGCTGGTGGCTGTTGCCCTCGGGCGCGGCGGGCGTCGACGTGGCCATCTCGGGACTTGTCTCCGCGTGGCTGTCGCCCGCACCTTGTCCTTCTTCGCCTTCGGGTTGCGCGGGGTTCAGATCGATCCGACTAGGCGTTCGTTAGCAAAAGCTCAGCAGTCATACTGTAACACAGACATACCAGAGCGGGCAAGTGCCAGACACATTCACCAACCAGGGATCAATACACTCGGGATGAAATTGGTGGTTGCACGGAAGCACGCGCAGATCCTGGCCCTTGACGAAGTCGTCGGTACAGATTGGGCAGGCAAAGTTCGGGTAATCCGTGGTCGTTCCCGCATCGGGGGCTGTGCTGCGTGGCTTGTCCGTGGAATGCGGCGCAGTCCCCGGCGTTTCCTGAGAATGAGGCGATACAGCTGCGGAGACCTCATCCGTCCGGTCTGTAGTCCTAGTTGCTGGCACGGTGGTTGGCTCATGTCCCTCTTCCAGAGTCTCACGCGACTGCGTCTCAGACCCCATTCCCATCTCTACATCTCCCTTGGCCGCATCGGTCTTGCCGTCGTGCTCGTTGTTGTCCCCGAATTTGACGATCGGGATCGTGTCAAGCATGGCTCGCGCTATGCCTCTTGCTCGGCTTTGCCGGGGTCGTCCTGCCGTATGCCGCGGCCCATAGCGCTCAGGGTGACGATGAGCCCGGACTGCTCCGGTGATGATGATGGCCAGGAAGAGTGCCGTGATGATTCCGGTAATAGTGTACAGAATGATCATCGCTGTGCATAGGTCAGTCACAGCTTAGAGTCTGCATCATTTAGACCACGAACACATACCAGTGTTGGGACTATCGCCGGTGGACCCGACCTGGTTCGAAGTTGAGGCGATGAACGACATGTTGGTGGACTTGGGATAGATGGTAGACGAGCCGTTTCCCAGAGAAATAAGCTGCGTGGAGAGTGCCTTGTTCAGCACAGTAAAAACGTTGTCGTACTGGTCGACGGATGACCCGGATGGTGAATAAGAGCAGTGTGTTGCAGATGCACTGTACAGGATCACCGCGGCTGCCTTTTGCTGCGCGGTGAGGACGTTTCTCACGGTAGCACTCGCATCTAAGTTTCCAGGATATGCAGAAGAGTCGCAGCTGATGACAGCGATATCCTGGCTACTTAAAGAAAGCGAATTGGTGGCGTCTACGTCGACCAGGCTACCCGTAATACGCAAATTCTAGCTCGGGTCAGTCCATCGGTGTCTCCGTAATACGCACATTGTCGTCCTTCCTGAGCATTCTTGAGGCGGAGACGGCTTACTGTGAGTTCCAAGTCGGTGAGGTTGACGAGGGCCTGGGTCAGCGGAGCCAAAATCACGGATGCGGACAGCTGGAGTTGGGAGCTATTCAGCAGGAATCTAGAGTGTCCGATCCACGAGATATCCGCCGAGCTGTTGGACGGCCGCACCGTCCAGTCGGCCGAGTTTTCTGCAACGACAGTGGGCGAGAAAAGAAGAAATAGTAGAAGAGAGGACAGAACGATGAGGGGAGGAGAGCCTAGAAGAAGAAAAGAAGTGGAAGAGAGAGAAGGAAGTGGGTTGTGTCGGGGAGGACCCATCGGCGAATCACTCCGTTAGCGATGAATGATGCTGAGGAATGGCCGGGTTGTTCCCCACAGTGACGAGGCGAACGGAGACAGCGGAGGAGACTGGAAGTATGGAGATTTGGGGGGGGGGGGGGG